AATTCCTCCAGTTGAACGTTGCCTGTCAGTCAAACGGCCAATCACATCACACATCTGATTGGTTGACTCATGCTTCCTTGGCCTAACCACAAAATATCTGATTCCTAGGATGATTTCATATGATTCATGAACACAGAGGATCGTGTTTAGTGTTTACTGTAATGTGTACTAATTTAATGAATGGGGTATTTATGTTATATAAAACCTATAGAACAACATCTGCCGTATGCTATTTTTAGCAATCTAAAAAATTGTGGAAAGTTTACATTTTGAACGTGCAGTTGTATAGTTCAACCATCATATGCACTTGGTAAAGTTTATATTTTAAATTCTAGAAGTGGAAAGAAAAGGCAATAAATCAAAGCAGGAGCATTCCGATATCACCACAGTTCAGCATTATTGACTGTGGTTGCCATGTTTTTAGCAACATCTTACAGAAACAGTCAGAGGGTTCAGATTTGGGTTGATCTGACTGGCACTTGACACTGTGGTGACTTCTAGGGTTTGACCACAGCAAAGTTGTCACGGACATTGCACTATATTTCCTTGCCTAAACAAATTGGCTGAAAGCTCAAGGAAAATATTATTATTTTTCTGCTCCCAAAATATGTGACGATCAAATTATTTTTTTTATTAATAGATATAAAAAAGGATCTATACATCTGTTATTATATACTTTTACTTTTTTTTTACTATTTTGTTAAATGTTTCTTAAATAACAAATACAGAATTTAAATAATAAACAGAGCAATTCTAATAGGGTCCTCACACCTTTGGTGCTCAGGCCCTAACAAGAACTTTAGAAAATGACTCACAAAAATGATATTTAATCACTTTCCATACAGTGATTATAGCAGTTTACTATTATTTAAGATTGAGTGCAAGTCCAGTATTTCGTATTAAGATTGCAAGTCCATTATTTCTGATTCTGATTTCACAGATGTGAAAGGCCACTCTGATTATGTTAAACTAAATTTGTTGCTAGTTTTATTTTTTATTTTTATTTTATTTTTTTGTTATTGTTTGCAGTTGTTACTGCTGTTAAATGGTTTGGTCAGGAGGTAAGTTTGTTGCTCCTGGAGAGGATATTGATTTCCAACCTCTCCTCAACAAGGGGCTTAAGACCCTCACCTTTTGGTGGAAAGAATGGAATGATTTTTTTTAGAAAAACAACTTCTCACAACTCATTATTACAGTTAATTTGGTACATTAGTCTCTTTCTTTCTTTACTAAATTCTTCTCTGAGTTTAAATATTGGCATGTCAATTTTGGTCAGCAGCTCAGTAAGCATCATGAACGAAAGCATTTTCCTTCCATGTGGAAACAGTGACTGAAGCAACCAGCTCCCTCGCAGGCCCCTCTTCTCTTTTTAGAGAAAGCATCAGACTTAAAATTTAATTGCAGGTTACTCTACGATTTATCATTTGTTTGGACTGTTGGCATTTTGCAAACTGACAGTGGGGATTCTTGAGCTATGAGCTGCAACCCCACAATACTGGTAAAAGCTCCCTTATGTTGTGTTGTGAAACAAAATAGCCTCTTTTCTATCCCTCTATCCATTTACCCAATTTTTAATCCTCATCTGCAAAGCATCTTTATTCACTTTCATAGAGGACAGAAGCAGAAGCTTCTATACGGGCAGCTTCCAGTCAGTGTTCGGTGTTGGTGTGATGGCGAGTTTCACATTCCTGCCTGCTGAACTGTGCAGTGGTCCGCAACAGCAAGTGTGTTTCTCCCCGGGTACTTCATGTCTATCGCCGCATCACAAGGTGAGCTGGATTCCTCTGGAGATCAGGGTTCGTCTGATCCAGAATTAACAGCCATGCTATCCTGGGCTGCCGCGAATGTCCCAAGAACTCAAGGTTGATGATTGGTTTTTGGGGGAGGCGAACTAAATACCTTTCTACCTGGACGTGCATGAAGAGTCTCATTTGTCTTTTTGCGACTGCTCAGTGGGCTTCTTCAGCCTTGACTTCATTGTACCAATGAAAACCTGTGGGTCCAACCAATTTTGGACCTCCGCATCTTGAACCAATCCCTTCACTGGCTTCCGTTCTAGATGCATTATATTTAATTTGAGTTAAATTTTGCACCTTTAATAATAATACCAGCTGACAGGACTTTCTGTATGTTTACAGCATTAGGTGTTGTTGTTTTTTTTGCCATGATTTACATAATATTTATCCAAAGGAATTGATATTGAATCAAGATCAGAATCAAATCACAAGAATTTTAATTGAAATTGTGAAATTTGTGTTATTGATACACACTTATTGATACACAATACACTGTTGTTGTTTTTTTTACACATTCCCCCCAATCCCAATCCACCCATTTTATGTTCACTGTTTATAAAGACAGGGCCTACCCTCTTGTCTTTTTGGCTTGTTTTTTTCTGATTGCACATGTGGAATAAGCGGTGTTGGAAGCTTGATGTGGAGCGAATAAAATTAATTGTAGCCATCACGCTGTACATTGTCATTTTGAGCGCCCGCTTAGTTTCACGCACAACACTGCCTGATGCACAATGCAGTGTAAGGAGATCAACTGAAGTGCAACAACAGATCAATGTGCTGCCAAACCATTCACTTTCCCTCTCATGGAGGGAGCCCCATCTGTCACAAGCATGCACACACTCTTCATATCCAGACCATTGTCTTTAAAAAATCACAAAAAACACTATATCGCCAGTTGTGTGTCCTAACGGCAGTAGGCCGAGCAGCTCCTCTCGGAAGCATTTGCTCTTAAAAAAAGATAAAAAAAACCTGACCTGTATACACAACTGAGCAGTATCAGTTTTGACTGTAGACTCATCTACTGCTATAGACATAGTATCAGCTTTCATCAAGTCTCCTAACAGCGTTTCATACACATCTGCAGCAAGAATTTAAACTCTACGAAAGTTGGAAGTATCAGAGAGGGCTATTTTTATAGCGGATACCGCGCTCGTTTTCATTTTATCGTCTTTTATCACCTCATCCACGACTGCCAGCATACAGTCCTTCATGGTTTCAGAGTCTGTGAATGGCCTTTTCTTTTTTTGCCAATATCCAAGAAACACAAAGGGATGCTCTCTCTCTCTTGGGCAGTGAATGACCGCACCATGGTAATACTGCTCTGGTTGTAAGATGCAATCCAACTCTGCACTTTTGCAGCCCTCTCTTGAGATCCCTTGGGAAAATTGGTGCGGAAAGTCTGGTGTTTCTCATTGTGGTGCCTCCGCTCATTGGAATCTTTAAGTACTGCAACGCACTCATTAAAACACATCGGTTTGGTGTTTGGATGTGGCGGTAAAATAAACAAGTGTTTGTCAGTCCAGGCAGGGTTAAACTGACGGTTTTCAATGATAATTTTACGTTTCAGTGTTGAAACAGACATATTGATTGTAATCTAGGCTACTACAGGCACGCTCTGCATTTTTTTTTTTTGCATGTTTCTAGGCTACGTGGTCTGTACTACTGTTTGAATTTACGTATGAATGTGCGTTTTTGGCGGGACCACGAGCTGGGCCACTTGGAGGTTGCTTCTGGGCCATATGTGGCATCTTTGGTGATCAAAGATGAGATTTAAGTGATACAATTATTGACTACAGGGGTACTTTATTATAATGGCCATATGTTTATACAACCGGTCCCTGGTCTGCCCACTGCGTTCAATATTAGCCGATGAATCGGTTGATGGCATTCACATTTAGAACAGAGCTCAGGTGGACTCACTAAATCTTTCTACCAAGGGCCTAAATATTTCTTTGTCTCACTCTTTCTCTGTTGGAGTAACTGCTATGCTCAATGGTTTGACTATGCAGTCCAGAATTTGAAAGATCTTATAACTCACAGTTGCCTCATTTCCAAAGAGGGGGAATTGTACTGCAATATTTATGCCTGGATTTGATAAAAACATTTGATGAAAGGGGAAAAAAAGATGGCTTTTTAAGTACTCTTAATGAAAGCAGGCACCCTTTAATTCGGTCACTTATGTTTAAAGTAAAATCAGCTCAATGTTCATCAGATGTTTTACTTTGGTTTCAGACTAGAGACATAACCGATTTATAAATTTAACTCCATGAAAAAAAAAATGAAAATGTATTAATACACACCATGATGAATGAATTATCATGGTGTGTATTAATACATTTTGATGCATTCTGATGAATTAATTAAACAAGATGTGTGTATTTGCTACAGGCCCAACAATAATGTTATTTTATTTTATTATTATTTGGGATAATATTAGTGAATCATAAATTCATAAGTCAGAATCATTTAATTTCTTAAATGCAAGAAGTAGATATTTTATTCTCGTTGAAATCCTGCTCTTGTTGTGATTTTTATGTTTGGTGTTTTACTGGTGTGTACAATTACAACACACTGCACGTTCATTTAGACCAAAACTTAGTAACTGTGGTTTTGCTATTTTCAAGGTCAAGTTGAACTGGAGGTGGTGGGCCATATTGCACTATTGGTGCAGCCAGAACGTCAGTATTAGTTATTATATAATCTATAATTATATGCTTGGGTATAGCGTGGTTTGGATGGTGTCTGAGGTTCTGCTGAGAGTTTGTCAGTGGGCTTTATATGGTAACATGCAGCTATGTTAACCACAAATCTCGGCATCAATCAAGTTGGAGGGCATCTTTCCGAAAGTATGCAGTTTAAACTGCTTGTTAAGCAAATTAGAAGATTATGGAAGATCCGTTTTTGCCATAGAGGTGATGTACAGTGATCCCTGAAAGCTGAAATTCCATATTCTTCTCAAAAAGCATTTTCAGGAGCAATGCATGAGCTCATAATAGAGTGACCTAAATCAAGCATAGATGGACAGACAGACGAAGAGACAAAAAGAGGGAGGAAATGAGAGAGAGAGAGAGAAAGAAAAAGAGTGAAGATCTGTCTTTTGGCTGAATGAGCACCTCCTTTTAGTTTGACCACAGTCTCCTCCTCCTTGCCTCAGATATAGAGTGTTTTTAGGAGCAGTAGAGTCAATCAGAGCTGGGAGTACAGGAGAGCACACTGTCAGGATATTCCATCCTTACGCACACACACACACACACACATACACTAACACACTCTGTCTCGTTCTCCATCTCGCACATGCACATGGAGTACTACTGGACCCACCTACTCTGGATTCTCTGGAGTGTGATGCCAGGTGAGTGTGTTGGCATGTGTTGCCTGTTTCCAATTAAAAACATTTAAGAGAGGCAAAGTGGTAAGTAAACGCTCCTTTGATACTACCAAACTGAATTAAATACTCTGCAACTTGAGAGTTGAATAAGTGCCATGGATGTGGTTTGTGCGAATGGGATTGTATCCCAGCACTGTGCATCTCCCACGTCTGGTTTCTAATGTCAGGCGCTGTTACACTGACCTCCTGTGATAGATGGGGATGCTGGATTGGCTGTGGAATTTCCATCCAATTTCCATCCTAGCTCTTGAATGCAAGGGAATTTTATCAGGGATATATTGGGAGTTCGTTGTCTGCGGTGTCTTGGAAAGATCTGGTGAGCAGCCAGATTAAAAGTTCACTTATGAAATGACACTCTTGACAGCATAGTTCAAGAACTTTTGCAGTTCAGTCAGTGCTGTGATGGGTCAAGGGTTCCTGAGAAAATTGAAATCAAATTTGCATTTCTCCCCAGTCCTGTCATGTTTTAGGTCTTATTTAATTTGTCTGTCTATCCATCTGCAATGAGAATTAGAATATCCAAATATTTATTTTATGTAATTTGATTGGCTAAAAAAGAAGGAAATTAATGCGTAACTGTTGATGGACCTAAGGACTAATGTGTGAGAGAGATAAAAAGAACATGTGTGTGTTGGTATTCAAACATGCTTTTTTTTTGTTTAGTTTGTTTATTACTCATCTTGATCAGTCGCCAGTAAGCCAGCTGTCACCCAGACCAATTTTAATTTCAATTTTAAGTCCAGCATAGTAAACATTATACTAGTACAAACTACTGTCTATTGTACTCCTTTTAGCATCTCCCTGTTCCCAAGTAACACATTTACACAAAGCAACTTCTACGTTCACTTTGCAGCTGAATGTGACCTAAACTTGGATTTTCTGCTCAATACCAGACGCTCAATCGAACTGAACTCCAATACACTCTGGCTCAAGCAAGGTGCACAATTAGTACAAATGTTGGGATGGAATCCGCATGAAATTCAACCTGTTCATACTGAAAGAAAATATTGATCTGTTCACACTGACATCCAAATAATAAAACAATTCCATATTTTCCAAATCCAACAATGTTTGAATAGCCTTCCGACTATGGCAGAAATTTGGTTAAATCAGATAATACTCGCATTTCTTGAGGTAATTCACTCAATTGTGATCGATTATGGCTTCATGTTTAACAGCGAAAGGAAGCGCAGAAAAAAAAGGTACAAAGCTGCCATTGAGACAGTACCCTAAAGTACAAAAGTTAAAATGTACACTTAAAGTATAAATATGTACTTTTAAAGTACTTAAAAAATTATATTATGTACCATTTGGGGGTAAATAATGTAAAAATATGTACCTTTTCGCTTTAGTAGTACCTCCATTGACCTCAGACCTGACCATTGACCTTCTTTCCTGAGAGATCAGGTAAATGTGACAACAGGGTTTAGTAGAGGGTCTGTTCCACCCAACCAGTCAGTAACAACTATTTCATAACCCTTCAGTACAAAAGAAATGACGGACATAGCTGAAAGGAACAATATTTAGCAAATAGTGAATCAGATGTTGATTCAGCAACCATTCTGATTCAGTGAAGGGTTCGTCAGACTAATTCTAACTAGAGACGTTTTTAAATGATTCACAAAATAATCGACTCGGATGACTCACTTGGACTTTACGCGCTATCTGTTTTGGGATGCAGCTCTTGTCGACTTTTTAGATCACCACATTTCATTCAGACTGGAAACTTACATTCACAACTAATATGATTAAAATAGGACTTTGATGCTTGAGATATCCATGATGGGAACGATATGTGAAATGTCGGTTAAATAGCTGTTGTTTGGTAAATGTTTGTTTCCTGGCTGATGCATAGTGTAAAGAAACAGCTGTATTCTATTTATCTCTGTAGTTTGTAAGAACTTTGATGTTAGCAGCTGCTGATTCAGGCTGTGATTAAAGATAAAATATTGTGATCTTAGAAACCTCTACCTCAAGTACTACTTGGGAAATAATAATGAAGGATTTTTTGTGTGGGTGAGGAACTCTAGCTAGTGAGTAATGCCTGACTGTGGTGTATATCAGTCTGCTTATGCCACGTGCCTCGCAGAGAGTTTACTTTGGCCACAAACCCAGTCAAAGGCCACCAGACTCATCCCCTGCTAGCCATCTCTCAGCAGCCCTTCAATGAGCTTTCCAGACCACAGAGCTCACAGTTGGAAAGTCAGCATGAAATGAGCAATCTCTGGTCATTTTAATCTTGATCTGTGAGTGTAACAGAATGTATATCACTCTCTGAGGTGCAGCACGTACAGTAAGAGCATAAAGTCCATGAGATCTTAAGCAGAGTAGCATTTCAAAGCAATGGTTTGAAAGATGCATTTCCGGCATGTGGAGTTTATTAAAAGTCAATCTGCTGGCCCATAATCCTCGCCAGTGGGCATCAGTGAGCCTCATTAGCATCAGGGCAGTACCTCACGTAAATATTTTTGAAGGAGGGAAGGGATGACGGAGGGGTGGACCAGATGTTTAGAAGGGGGTGTTTGTCACATGTGGGCTTACACAGCTGCATATCTAACTGGGTCTAGTAGTACGTCAATATTGGTGATGTTGGTTTTGATTATGAATTAGATTTTGGTGGTGGGTCTGCGGTAGATATTCTAGATGTGGCCACCAACACCAACTTAAATGTTTCTTTAGAAATGTTTTTATTTTGATCACGATCTGATCAAGATTTCAGTGTCTGGGCATGTGGCATTGATTGTTAAAGGTCTGTAATATATTGCAGCTGCAGGCTGTAGCTGGAATTTCGTCTTATTTAATTGTCTGGTGACAACATCAAGCATGTAGCATAATAAAATTAGTTTCATCAGAAGATCAATAGAATGTAACACACGTGTTTTTAGAAGATGAAGTGGTGTGTGCTTGCTTGCTTGCTTTTCATTACAAGGTATTGGTAAATTTGGTTTTCAGTGAATGTGAAAGATTTGCATTTAAAGGAGAATGAGGCTAGAACATGATATAGGGCAGATTTGAACCTGCATCACTGTGTGTGTACAGCTATTTATGCATCCTGATCACTGTGCCATGGGTCTGTCAAAGTCTGGCAGATTGTTAGTCTTCAGGATTCATGGACATTCTCATAGACTGGAGCTTCTCTGTCAGTATGACTGTGGTGTAGCTCCTGTAGCTTGGTTGTGGTCCAAAACAGCACAGGCCTGGACACACAGCGCAACCCTTGCAGCCACTGTATTGAGGTTTATTTATCTGGGCAAAGAAATCCATACACAGGAAACCCACTCTATAGGACCTGCTGATATTACGGAGAATATTAAAGTGTCTGCCACGTTAGGGCTTTTAAATGGAAACTAGAACCTTTCTACTCCCCTCTCTTTCTTGGTTTGGTTTCAGTAACAGACTGGATGCCTTATATGTGTATTTAAACCACTTTGGAAAAAGTGATCAATGACTGTGGGAGAGAATTTAGGGGGAAGAAGGTAAAAGGTTTAGGTTTTTCTTCTTCACTGGTCGGCCAATGGATCTACACTCACCTCAAGGATTATTAGGAACACGATACTAATATTGTGTTTGACCCCCTTTTGCCTTCAGAACTGCCATAATTCTACGTGGCATTGATTCAACAAGGTGCTGAAAGCATACTTTAGAAATGTTGGCCCATATTGATTGGATAGCATCTTGCAGTTGATGGAGAATTGTGGGATGCACATCCAGGACACGAAGCTCCTGTTCCACCAAATCCCAAAGATGCTCTATTGGGTTGAGATCTGGTGACTGTGGGGGCCATTTTAGTACAGTGAACTCATTGTCATGTTCAAGAAACCAATTTGACTTGGTTCGAGCTTTGTGACATGGTGCATTATCCAGCTGGAAGTAGCCATCAGAGGATGGGTACATGGTGGCCATAAAGGGATGGACATGGTTAAACGATGCCCATTAAACCATGACCAATTGGCACTAAGGGGCCTAAAGTGTGCCAAGAAAACATCCCCCAAACCATTACACCACCACCAGCCTGCACAGTGGTATCAAGGCATGATGGATCCATGTTCTCATTCAGGCAACATTTTTCCACTCTTCATCTGTCCAATTTTGGTAAGCTCTTGCAAATTGTAGCCTCTTTTTCCTATTTGTAGTGGCAACGAACGTCTTCTGCTGTTGTAGCCCATCCGCCTCAATATTGTGCACGTTGTGGCTTCACAAATGCTTTGCATACTGTACCTCAGTTGTAACAAGTGGTTATTTCAGTCAAAGTTGGTCTTCTATCAGCTTGAATCAGTCGGCCCATTCTCCTCTGATCTCTACGTCTGGACAGTGTTGCAACTTGTGCAACAGTATGTTGCTATATACTGTAAGTGAATTATATGGTTTCAGTAAAAATGAGTTTTGTTGAGTTTGTTAAATCCAGTATATTGAATGCTTTTTTTGAGTCCAAATTTGTAATGCTATTGTAGATTTGTATATTTATAGCAATTAATATATATTTTATGATATTTGTTAAAATGCATTAGACTTCTCAAATTCGGTTAAGGGCAGGAAACTATAGCCATTTGTCAATTACACATTCTCGACTTTGAAGAAAGAATGGCATGGAACAGAGGATCTGATGAGAATAAGTCTGTGTGCAGGGGTCAGTTTGAGCTTCTCTATGCTGTATATGCCCTCATACATTACTCCTGCTCAGAATAAAACGTCATTGACTGGCAGTATCGGTCTCAACTGTTGATCACTTTCTATGAAAGACTGACCAAAAATGAGTCTAGGAAAGACATGTGGTCCACATTATTCCCTGTGCATTCTTGTGCCTGAAAAGATTAATGTGCAAAAATGATTTGACATTATCTCTGTACACTACAGTAGCCTGTCATCATTCATGCTTTTGTCTACAGAAAGAGAACGTGGGAAATGGAAAGAGAGAGAGAGAAGATGCTAAAAGCACTTTACTTTTCCTCCTCTCCCCTCTACTAAAGGCAAGATCTCTTCATCTCATCCATCAATCCTCTTGCAAGATATAATATGCCGAATGGAAACTGCATCCCTGCTTGAAGAAGATATTGTACCTATCAGCATTGTCATCAATAGACACTTTCATTTTTTCTGGTGACAGCTGGAAAATAAATGTTTTTTTTTTCTATCTTGAAAGACATTTTCTTTATAAGTATTTTAATTTAATACAGAGGAGATACATTTTTCCCTTGTTTTTTTCCTACTGGTACATAGGCCAAACTAGAGGCAAGGACCTGGGGCCACCAGAGAGTTAGGCCTTTCATCAGATCCCATTGTATGTTTTCTGCATCCTTCTCTTATATTTTTTTGTCAAGCTGATTCATTTTCTGAACTCTGAACGACAGCATATGGATGTCATAATCTTGCACACGTGGAAATGCAAGGTTATGGCATCCATATGCTGTCGTTCAGAGTTCAGAGCAGAGTTAACGGTGTTATTCAATGTAATTCTCAGGTAAATTAACCATTGTGTTTATACTTGGATCAGTTTTTTGAAGTTCTCTCAGTTCACCACCTGCTTTATATTTATCTTATGCTTATAAAAATCTTTATTCACAGGGTTTATAACATGAAAAGGATTACCTTTGAGACCTGCATCAAAAAAATATTTGCTAAAATTGTTAAAGACGTGATTATTTGACAAGTCTGTTTATATACTTCTAGGGATAGTTCACCAAAAAAAAAAAAAAAATATTAATTACTCACCCTCATACCATTACAAACTCATCTTCGGAACACAAATGAAGATGTTTTTATTTCTGTCCCTCCACTGTGACAGCTACGCAACTGACACTTTGACACTTCAAAAAGTTCATAAAGAGATAGTAAAACTAATCCATATGAATTTTATATAATGAACAGGTTATATATATCACTTTATATGATGAACAGGTTGAATTTAGGCTTTTATTCACAAATAAACACTGATCAGTGAACATAAACAGAAGCTCAACCGAACATGTTTGACGCGCTCTTGCGGAAGCTCAAACGTGCTGCGAAATAAACGAGAATGAACCTCATTGGTTCTCGCATGTCAAGCAAACATGCTTGAGCTTCTGTTGGTTTACTGCAACTGATCTGTGAGTTGATGATTGTTTATGTGAATTAAAGCCTAAATTCAATCTTTTCATCATATAAAATGATTGTGTCTCTTCAGAAAATGTTGGACTATACCGCATAACTATTCATATGGAATAGTTTTGCAATCTCTTTTTGAAGCATCAAAGGTTCTGTTGCGTAGCTTGTCAATGGACGGACAGAAATCGATGAACAGAAGTCTTATTGGTTTGGAATGACACAAGGGTGAGTAATTAATGAGATCATTTTTATTTTTGATTGAACTAACCCTTAAATGAAAAATCTGTCATCATTTAATGATCATTCCAAATCTGTATGACTTTCTTTCTATCTGTTTTATTTTTATTTTTTAAGTATCTGTAACCTAAACAGTCATATTTTGCTTCAGGTTAAGCCATAAGAATGGTGCTGAAAGGAAGCAACTTAAAAGACAAAATAGTCTTTTGATTTTGACTGAAATTGGCCCTTCCTTTAAGAGGTCAAAGGTGTAACTTGACTTTTAATTTTTTTGATGGACAGACAATCAAATCTGTTGTGGTGATTGACAGCTTTATTGTTTAGTCTCATCCATAATGAGGTCGAATATTCCTGTCTCTTCCACACCAGAGTCTGTTGACAGAGTTGGAGCGTGTCAGGTCAAGTGGTGAAAGTCATGCAGGCTTTCTCCATGATCTTGAGCATTAGACTGATTATGAAGGGGGTTCAGCATTAGACCTCCATGAAGGGGTTTGTTAATCCAATGACCAGGATCTTGTAGTCTTTAAGGGGCCCGTCAGAACATAAGCAGAAGCCATACTGGGATGTCATGAGTAAACAGAGACACCTTTGAACTTTGATGGAGATAAAGCAATTACAGTCTGTTTTCAGAATAGGATGAAACCTAAAACATCAAAGCGTCTATTGATTATTTTCCATGTAAGGAGGATTTCTAGACCAACATCTTTAAGAAGCCTCAAAAAGGCCAATTAACACAAACAATTTTTAATTAATTGGGTTACTTATTGCTGCTCAGTCATTTACATTTGAGGCAATGCTCACTACAAAGACAAAAATCAGTAAATAAGCCAAATCTACAAGGCTTATTTTGAGAAATTGGAGTGTTTTCCAAATTTTAAAAAAATCTATAAAAATGACTTACATTTTGAAATACATTTCCACACTTCTTTAAGTTTGTGCATATTTGTCTTCAACTCTGTCAAGTGATTTGGTTAAGGCCAAATAACAAAAAAAACAATATGTGCTTTCCTCTCTGTTTACTGTTCATCTGTGTGTTGTGTAGAAACAGTACAGTGTTGCTCATGGCCAGAAGTGCTCCTGTTTAGTGTTTAGGATTCTTTGTGCTGGCAGAAATTCAGTTTAGCCACACAATTCAATTTTGCTTCTTTGTTTTGGGTCATTGCTGAAACTCCTTGCCTCACAGAATCTATTGCCATTGCCAGTAAGTGGTCTTATGTTTAAGCATGATGTGGATGAAATTCATAGTTGAGTTGTCTGTGTCTGTTACAGGGTTCCATGACTGTTTCAATATTGACGCCATAAATCACAGGATCATAAAGGGCCCCAGGCAGACACAGTTTGGCTACACTGTCCAACAACATATGGCTGGGGGTCAGAAATGGTAAGAAGCACTAAGTATTTTCCTGTACCCTTTGATATTAAAAGGGATAGTTCACCCAAGAATGAAAATTCTGCCATCATTTACTCACCCTCGTAAATACTTAATACATGATGCCAAAACCATGTTTGTTGTGTGCAAAATCATAGAATTCATCTATCAAAAAAACAAAAAACAAATCGTGTGTCCAGTTCTTGAAGTGAAGGAAGTGTATTCAGAAATATGTCAAAGAAAATAGTGAATCTGATTTTTATTGCAACTCCCAAACCAACAGTAGGTCTCACATGCCTCATGATTTATACAGTTTTCATCACAAGTAACTTTCGATCTCCGCAAAAAGGAAAATACACCTATGATGCTTTTAGAGGGTTATGAGAATTGGAAGGAGTTTAACATTTGTCGTCAATCACTGTGATATCATTATCTCTCTGTGCTTTGGCAATTTGATTTAAATCTGGCGTCCCAGTTTGTCTGCTTGGCTCACCTGAAGCCCTGCTCGGCTCTCTCTCTCTCTCTCTCTGTGTGATAATAAGTGTGTCTGCAAAGAGAAACCTTTTCTTTGTTTGTAAGTGTAAATCACCCCTTTGACTTCATATCATACAACTGAATGAAGGACCTTTTTTTTGGTATAAGCCAGAGAACCCAGCTCATCTGCTTCTCATTGTAATGAAGAGATTACCCCTCACCCCCCATTGTAGCCTACCTGAGATCATGAAAATAATATATATTCTATCTCACATTCCTCAGGTAATGGCTAGATGGCTTGGTCTGACTGTAGTTTAGATGTGAGTGTGTTGTCAGTTTAGCTGGACTGATGTGGGGTGATATCAACATAGACTTTCTCAAGTGAGCGGCTGCCAAACAGACCCCCTTTCTGTCTCTGCCCCATTCACACAGCATCTGGAAGCCATTAACAGCCCAAAGGAAATTTTCAGCGTGGCATGTGTGTCTGGCTTGGCTATTTAAAAAAAATCATATTTAAGATGTTTGGGAGATGTTGTGAATGAGCACTTACACAACATACACAAAGCTAAAGACTTGCACATCTACCAATATAACAGCAGCAGACTAAACTACACATGAAGACCAGATATATTGAGTGAAAGCACAATTTACAAATTTCACCGTAGATGTATTGTGAATGTGAACAGCACTGTAGGTTTACACCTCTGTGCTGCAAACAGTTAATGAAATGAAAGCTTGCACTACCTTGTGGTCAAAATTAAAGTTTTTCACTTTTATTTCTGTTTAACGGCTACCCGGTACACCTACCAACCAGAAAACGTTAAAAAAGTTGACAAGCATGTCAAAAAATAAGCCGATCTGATTTTGCTCCCCTTCTGATGTAGGAAGGGGATCTTATTATTACATTGCCGCCCCTTAATCTGCACGTTTCTACCTACGGCGCCGCCATTTGGTTTTTGCAATGTGATAACAGTGTAACCAGTTCTAACACAATGACAAAAGTTTGAGAAAAGTATGCAAACTGTTCTGTCGCTGGCTGGACTGATGAGCACTATTTGACCAAAAAATGTCACAGCTGTCTTGCATGTCGATGAGATGAATCAATGTAACTCCACAACAACTACACAAATGTATCCACTAACCTTCAGAAACGTCTAGGTGCAGTCTACAAGTTGCAACCTCTTCCCGAGTCTCTCCTGAGTCTTTTATTATAGCCGAGGACGAGGTATCCGCGTAAAGGATCGACCCTCTTCTGAACGGGTGCGGTGAGCAGCAGCTCATTGGCATTTAAAGGGACACATACAAAAATGGCACATTTTTGCTCGCACCCAAAAAGAGGTCAAATTTGACAAGCTGTAATAAATGATCTGGGGGGTAATTTGAGCTGATATTTCACAGACATATTCTGGGGACACCATATATTTATATTATATCTTGTGAAAAGGGGCATAATATGTCACCTTTAATTTAATATTTCTGATGCCAGACAATCTCTCATTCCCATCTGTTAATGTGATAAAGAGACAGAGGTTTAGGGAGCTTGTTTTGTGTTTATACTGGCATGGCTAGGCTGTAGGAGTTGTGCAGGAATTGGCTGTAGATGGTAGCTAATCGTCATTATGTGGTAATTTTACTTCAGATAGTTTGAACAGGAGAAATGCTTTGGACTCTGAGACACTGCTTGCTATTTACTTATGTTTTGCTATTTATGCAAGTTGTGCGTGTGTGTATTGGTCCTCTCAGTCTCTCACAGTTTGAGTCAGGGAATGTCTTAGCACAGTCAGATCCTTGGAGGAGAATGTTTAGTCCAGGAAAGTAATGGAGTCTAGCTGTGTCTCACCTTTCTCACAACCCCGAAGCCCTCTCAGCATGGACAACACACAATACACTATGACTGTTCAACTTTTTTTAATGCAGTTTTCGGTGCAGAATACCTACAGTATTAAAATCAGTGAAATGACTCAAATGCTTTAAAGAGCATATTGCAGGTAAAAAAAATCAAAATTAATATATAGCCTTGTATGAAAATGCCATATGAAAAGTTAATGCAGGATTTAAAATGTTTTAAAACAAAATAAGGGCACCAATTTAGTGGATAAAGTGAGCATTTCTTTGACTGCTCGTAAAAGACTTTTTTTTTTTTCAACATTGTGTCATTTTACGTCACGAAAGGGAGCCTCAGCTCAGTGCAGTGTTATCTTTCGTGCCTGAGTTTGGTGACGAGATTTATGAATATTATGAACAATTTCCTCAGCGTCCAAAATGTCATTGCGATCCATTGTTTCCCTGTTGCAATACATTGTTTTCCGGCTCTCCGGCCCGTTACGTCACGCCCATTTTCAAATTCGGAAGTAAAATTTTCTCACAAAAACGCCGTAAGTTCTTTGGCCTCAAATTTTTTTAGAGATGTTTTGGAAATTTCATATTATATAATATAATATCATATAAGTCATATCATATTTAATGTTGCACACAAAATTAATTTAACAGTTTTTGCATAACTGAACTCGGCATGCTTTTCAAGGTGTCATGTTCTGAGGTAATAAATTAAACCAGTTTCAATAAAGTTCTTCGCAATGAGCCAAAGTAATTTTACATATTGCTACTCTGGCCTCATTTTAGGCCACAGTGAAGTGTGTTCACTGCTGACATGTTTCTGTTGTAGCTTATTCATGTTGTGTGTACAAAATAGACTCTGACATGGTCAAAATGCACCACTGGAGAAGCACTAATTGAACATCACTGTTTTGGTCAATGGTTTGGGTTTCAAATCATAATTTTATATAATATACCATATAATGTCATATCTGAAATCATATCAAGAAGCTAAATGAAGAATGAAATAACGAAAGACTATCATCCAATTGTTCATCCTGTCGCTTTCTTTCTCTTTGAATTTGAAATGTTGATTACTGCATAGTATACCTTGTTTAAAACTAGTTTTATACAAATATGATAAACTTCTAAAATGTTATTATAGTAGTATTCACTATTCTTTCACTTTCTCTCTTGTGCCATCCTATCACAGCAGCAGCATGCAGTTGAAAAAGGTGTTATCCCAGTTTCAGAGGCACAGAAGGGGTTTAGTGGTGTAGGAAAACGGGGAAAGGGGCTGGCAACACACACATCAGCTGTGGTTACTGAAACCATGGACTAGAATGAAATATGTAGTTGCTGTTCTCTCATATTTTTTCTCTCAGTCTTAATACTATGTTAACAAATGCATTTTATTTCAGGTCAGTACACCAGAATTGTTTGGAACATTTTCACTATACATGTTCCAAGACAAAAGCATTGACCTTTATACATGTATATTGGAACCATTTCAGCAGTTGCATACCATGTTCAATAGCAGATACATAATTAAAGACTAGAAACTTTGAAATAATCATGTTAAAACTAGCCTGTATTTCACAAATTAGTGTTTAGCTTTTTTGCAATTGGAGAAACCTAATATTTCCATGCCATGTAAACCACTAAACAAGCATGTTTAATTTTATTTTAAATCAGAATTATACACTTTTTTGGGGGGTTTTCTTATGTCACCAAAAGTGGAAGTATGTCCTTGTGAATGTCCCTTTTATGAAAAAAAGTTATATCATAACAACTCTTGGAGAGATTTGCATGGTAATGGATATGGCAATGTTAATGTATTTGGTCTTGGCGGAATAGATCCATGCTGCGCATATAAGATACTGTACATGAAATACCCCCATAGCAGATCTATACAGGTGGAGCTGGAGGGTTTCTGAAGCTGTTGATACTCTTAAGGTGTGTTCACACTTGGCAGGTTTAGTTGGATTAAAACAAACTCTGGTGCGATTGCTTTGTTAGTGCGTTTCATTGGAGTAAACGTTGCCATCCAAACCTTGGTGCGAAAATGTGGACCCCTTATTCCGCGAAGACACCAGCGAAAGCTTGAACCCCCTCAAACCTGCTGCCGATTCCTGTGGATACTGTACAGCATAACGTCGAGCAAACGGCGCTGTGCTATATAATGTGAAGGAAAAGCCAGTTTTTTTTTCACTACCCAACGACGAGCATATGAAGAATCAGTGGTTAAATTTAATCTTTTCCATGATATCACAGCAATATATAAAACTTGCTGTGTTCCCTTTATTTTACTGACGACTGCTTCTCAAATCTCGGAGTTAAATGCAGGATTTGCAACCGCTTGCTCTTTAAAGATGGTGTTCAAAATACTTTGTTTTGATTTTTATATTGTATAGTAGGTCTCCTGCTAGTTTTTAGTTTACGGTTTACGGTGCCTCAGGACAAGCAGAGCCGATATTGTTATGGCAATAGGGGTTTTTGTTTTCGATGCGCATGCTGTACGCAGTGAACCAATCACAACAGACTTAGCTTTCTGGCCAATCAGAGCAGAGTAGCTCACAGAAAGGAGGGATTTAGAGAGATTGAGCCGTTGAGAAGATGTGGTGATGTGCAAATGTATATTATGAAGAAATGAAACAGTTTTTTGACCTTTGATGTATGTAAACCTGTTGTGGAAGACTCAAAAACAACATCAGGAATCTTTAAAATAGCATAAGAGGGGCACTTTAAGTCGTATGATGGGGTTATGAAACAACAGTTACAATGGTAAATACACTAAGTAACATAAACTATTAATGAAACATATGGAAACTGCTCCTGATGAATACCGAGGGGACCCTTGGCATGGATGCTCTGGCACAGAGCTGACCCCTGGGCCTACGCAAGTATGCGTTTTGCCCAGTGAGACCATGTGCAAGGTCAGGGAGGACGAGGAGCAGGTCTTGTCAGTTGCGCCGTATTGGCCCAGCCGGACCTGGTTCCCCCGAACTAGTGCTCCTCACGACAGCCCCTACCTAGCCCATTCCTCTGAGAGAGGACCTACTCTCTAAGAGACGGGGCATCCTGGGGCATCCTATGGCATCCTCGTCCAGACCTCTGGAAACTCTCATGTCTGGTCCCTGGACGGGATGTGGAGGTTCTAGGTGACCTAACCCCAGCGGTAGTTTACACCATCACTTCCGCTAAAACCCCCTCTTCGAGGCACCTCTATGCCTTGAAGTGGAACCTATTCATTGACTTGGGTTCTTCTCACGAGGATCAGAGCCGTGCTTTCTTTCCCCTCCACCCTTAAAGTGTATGTTGGCGCTATTGTCGCACATCACGATGCAGTTGAAGGTAAGTCATTGGGAAAGCATGACCTGTTTGTGATGTGCTGCAATAGCGACACATCACACGGCAAAACCCTTAAAGTGTATGTTGCCGCTACTGCCGCACATGATGATGCAGTTGAAGATCGTGAGATTCCTGAGGGGGGCAAGAAGACTAAGGCCTAGTACTCATATGCTAGGCTGTGTTCCATATGTGATCCCATATTGAGTATTCTTCCATGACCAGCTCCCTGCGGTGAGCCCATGTCTTTCCCTTGGCAGAGTCCGCTCCGGTTAGCCTACTTCTGACTTCCGTGTCATATGATCCTTAATAAATTATTCTAATACGATGATTTTATGTTCAAGAATTATTATTATCAAGTCTTATTAATGATCAGTGTTGAAAATAGTTGTTTTGCTAAATATTTTGTAGAAACTGATGAATTTTCAGGATTCTTTTAGGAATCGAAAGTTCAAAAGAACATCATTTATTTGAAAATGCTCATGGATGGAGAGGAAACTTTTACAACTGAAAGACAATACATAAATGGAAACAACTTGGTTTGAATGACTGATTTGCATTACTAATGTATGATGTCTGTGATGGTGCTTATCCATCATCAGTGGCCGTGGATAAAGTGAAAAGCCTACAATAATGACCATATCAAATATATAGGAATGTGGTTATGTAACAGACATGAATTCTTGGTACACATTACTGCAATCAATGAGAAGTTGTTCTATTTGGTATAGCAAAGATATTTCAGAGTAACACGTTCATTACACTTGAGTTATTTTTCTGATGTCTCTGACTGCCAGTGGGATTCCCTATAGGGATGAACATAGAGACAAACGTGGCCACATACGCCTGTTTATTTTTGAGAGTTTTGCAGTTTGAATTCCTTGCTGAGTTTTGACTTTTGTGTGGCCCGTGACCTCTGAATTCCACAAGCAGCAGGAGGGTTGAAGCATTCTCTAGATTCAAACTCATCTGAAATATGGCTCACAAACCGTCCTTTATTCTTGGTTAAAGCTGTAATGATTAAATAATGGTTTTAATGTGGGGTGCTATAGTTCACTACCTTTACGTTGAAGAAGTAACAACAGAAATGAGTTAGGTTTCAGGGTGATGTCACGCTGAGGTTTTCGGGATGTTTAACTTGTTCTTTTAAATCAAAAACACAGGATGGACATTTGTGGTGCATCTCTGCTTTTTTGTCCTGTCAAATATGAAAGTAATGAAACAGCATATAAGTGGAGTCACTGGCACTTCATAGACCTTCGGTGCCATGGAATCAAGTATTTTCTAACTCTCCAAATGTGAAAAACATTTGTCTATTAATGGCAAACACTTTCCTCTTAGAATTTTCCAAAGGACTTGGGCCGCTAGTCCAGTTCTTTGTGGGATATTGAATATGTAAAGGTTGTGTGTTAGCGAGGCTGTTTCATTCAGTGCTATTAGCCTTTTGTAGCCCTGCTACAGAGAGAATAAAAAAAAAGGATGAACTTAATGAGTCTGAGCCTGATTGTTTTAACAGTTCACTGCGTCATTGCCCTGGAAGTTTGACTAGACTATTAAATCACTGCAACAATGGTCTTCTTTCTCATGCTCATCTCTCTATTTCTCTTTCATACTTCCTTCTTTCCAATTTTTTTTAAGTTTGTCCCGAGCTGAACTGAAGTGTAAAGTGCAGTGCCAAAAGTGGCTATAGCACCAGTAATATTCACAATATTAATAGCAGTGAAAATATGCACACAGTCTGACCTCCTTCTGTGAAAAATTATTTCCAGAGACATTTGAAAATGTTTAGATGAACTTTTAACTGGAGACCTCGGTTGGGTTTTTTAAACTTATTTCCTTATTTCATGCTCATTTCAAACCCATGTCAACTTGGTTCGTTTATCTAAATATCGTTATATCACAGAAATTTCATATTTACATAAGAAACAGTGATACACTGTCACTGTCAGTTCATTTTGTTTATTTCGCTGTATTGACTGAATGGCCTAATTGAAACTGAGCAGTCAACATAGATCTTTATTGTTATTTTTTTCTACATTCCCCACTGTAAATAGCCTGTGGGTGTCTTATAATTATATTTTAACTAATGGGTAAAATCCATTTGTCTGGGGAGCTGGATCCAGATTTTGTTGGAATGCTTCCCTGAAGGAAGCTTCCCAAATAGAGAAATATTTTCTCAAGGGTCCCATGATGCTGACCCCTGGCATATGGGAGAACACTCAGGTCTGGATCTGCAATAAACGAGTGTCGGATATTGTTCCCTTCGCACTGTCCCTGAGTGGGTATTGCTCCTGTTCAGAGAATTAACCTTAACCACCTGACAGAATCAGCTTTAGATGTGGTGATTATTGGTGTGTGTGTGTGTGTGTGTGTGTGTGTGTGTGTGTGTGTGTGTGTGTGTGTGTGTGTGTGTGTGTGTGAGATGTGGTGCTTCTAAATATTATGAGTTTTGATCATAATGATTACAATTTAAAGGTCCTAAATCTGTTTTTTTTTTTTGTACAACTTTTTTCTATTATTTTTTGATATGTGTCTGTAATTTGTCAATTTAGTGTCAAACTTGTTTAATTTTGTGGGTATTGGATCTAAAAAAACGTGTTTTTGGTCTAAGATGCAGTAAGTTTTATCTGTTTCATATTTGTAAAGCATTGCAATTGTTCTTTAGGGAGCGATAATATAGGCTGAATCATAAAATGCTGGGTTACATCATGAGGGTTATTTGCAAATCTATCTTTAGTGGTTGGGATAATCATTCTACCTGATTCATAACACTGAGCAATAATACTTTAAGCTATGAACGGACCTCTGAGGTGCAATGCTGTTCTGCTCACGAGAAAATATAGCAGTTTACATTTTATAATATCTATTTTGAAGTAAATGGACTTTTGTTTCCCATGATTAGTTTTGCTTTCATTTTCTGACCCCAATGGACAGATACTGCCTTGCATCTGATGGGCTGTTTAATAGTACCACCTCACCATTAACTAATTATGAAGTTCTGAATGACATTTAAGAGCCCATCTTGACCTGGCACAGGCACAAAAATGTGAAGTCAAATAAGTTTTCTCTTTCCCTCGAGACCACTATCAGCATGAAAGAATTCTGCATCTCTTCAATAAACAGTTGAAAGTACACATCTTGATGTGTTTAAGGATGCCTAGTATTCCAGTGATCTGTGACTAGTTAAATTAGTCCTCCATGACTACTTAGTGAAAGTGACAGCCTTTGCTTTTAAAAGCTGCATGCTTCCAAGAGCCGTGAAAAGTATGTACTGCTCCCTACAGCGTGACTGCTACTGCACCTGAATAATGTGTGTGTCCCTGATTGCTCTCTGCGGGAGCAGTATTATGTGTAAAGCATGTCAGCATTAATGGAGCGATGTGTTTAGTCAGTCTGGGTCATAGGATACATATTTCAACACGCACACAAACAGATCTCAGCATAGTCCCACATACCTAACCGCCCTGCATGGTTCCATCGATACATTACCTCAGACATCAACATTCAGCTTAAACCTGTTTAAACATTCTTTTGCTGTTAGATTCCACCACCTGCCATCTCTCATTGATTCACTTCCCCTAACCTCCTTTAAACGTCCCTGTGTTCATAGGGAGCTTAAATCAACAGGCTTCTGGCTGTATTATTTACAGGGAAGTGGATCACACACCTGCTTTATGCTTATGTGTTTTTTGTGACATTTTTGTTAGATGAATGTTGTGTCAAATGTAATATTTATATGTTTGGATTGTGGATGTTTCTAGGTTACTGGTAGGAGCCCCACTGGAAACAAATGGACAGCATCAGACAGGAGATGTATACAAATGTCCCTTAAGCAGGAGATCTGGAGGACCCAGCTGCTCCAAACTCAATCTTGGTATGGTGATTGCATGTTTTATATTTTGTGTGAAAAACATTTCAGCATTGTTTGTATCATCATATTTGCATAATTAAAAAATACACAATTTAAATTATCATCATAATGTACATATTACGTCTTTTTGTTATCATTGGTGAAGTTGGACAACCCAAATTTGAAATTTTTTGTCAGTAATTGTGTTGATGGGATTAACACTCTGGATGACTGTGGATTATAATTACTAGATATTTAATTCGCATAAATACTTTTTGTAAACAGACTTCAAAAGGAACTGTAATTATTTACTAGCACCAAATAATTACTTCACTAAGCTTCCACAATAAGGGTAAGTGTTGTGGTTTGGGTAAAGTGTTACCAGGCATGCCTTGTGGAAAGCAGTGGGGGGTGGGGAACAGATTGATTCGTTCAAATACACCCCTGAACTTGAGTTTACACATTAGTTTTTCACTACAGAACGCAACATCTATAGTATGTCAAGCATATGTGTTCTATATAATCTTAAATGTGCCTATTACAACCACTCTGCCAGTTTCAATATGTGCATGCGTATAGATGCACACACATAACAGATGCACACTGCAGATAAAGTCAGGAATGTCTAGACAGAATTAACAAATATGTTTACTGTTAGAGGAAGTCTCTGTTTAAACTACATGCCACATATGGACTGTGGTCAGATTTTACAGCACAGCATTTTATTTCGCTTACACATTTGAAACATTTGTTAATGTTCTTTTTTCTTAAGGAAGGATATCCTTGACAAATGTCTCTGAACGAAAGGATAAGATGAGACTTGGAATGACCCTTTCGTCCAACCCCAAAGACAACAGCTTTGTGGTGAGTTGAAAGTTTTGAATGTCTGGTTAAGTAATAATACATATTCAGTGTTATATTTTTAAAGTCATCTGGAATTGAAACGGCCTACAACACTAATATTATTAAGTGTTTAAACAACATCTATTCCCTGTGGAACACTATGGAAACATATTTTTTATGTCAAATGAGCCCCTGATCTTCATGTAAATCCTAAATTCATTTATTAATGGTGCACTTAATTCTCTTTGTGATAATTCACAGGCTTGTGGTCCCCTTTGGTCGTACGAATGTGGTAGCTCGTACTACAGCACTGGAATTTGCTCCAGAGTCAACGCCAGCTTCAAGTTTTCCCGTACTATCGCTCCTGCCTTCCAAAGTAAGCACAATGCACCTGCGCTCTCGATTTAACTAGGACAGTTTTTACAGTGACATTTCAGTGTTTCAACTTTCTGTCTTAAATGAATTTGGCCATGACAGTTTCTGCCATATGCAATATATTGTGGAATTAATCTTCTTTTAAAAAAGAAAATGATCATGACTGCTCACAAAGAAAGAGCTGAGAAAATAAATCTTTTTTTCTTTTCTTTTTTCTTTTTTGATGAAAGAATCATAGGCCTAATTTTTTTTAATTTTAGAACAAATCCCTAAAATTAGCTTCTGAGCAGAATTACTACCTTTAAAGAGTTTTATCTGCCAAACTTATCAAAAACATCTAATTTCCCTTATCAGGGTGTGAGACATACATGGACATAGTTATAGTCCTGGACGGTTCAAATTCAATCTACCCCTGGAATGAAGTTCAAGACTTCCTTATCAACATCCTGCGGAAATTCTACGTTGGACCGGGACAGATTCAGGTGTTTTTGAGTTTCTGAACAATGTCACTGCGAAGTATCAAATGTGTCATTCATTTTTGTCACATGAGGTGAATCATGTGCCCGTCAGGTTGGAGTACTACAATATGGAGAAAAGGTGGTGACAGAGTTTCAGCTGAATGACTTCCGTTCTGTGGAGGATGTGGTCAAAGCAGCCCGTAAAATAGGCCAACGAGGAGGAGAAGAGACCAACACTGCACTTGGAATCAGTGTTGCACGGTACTACACATAAATTACAAAAATGATCATAAAAAACTCTTAATAATCATCCAGCTCTTGCTAGTAAAGTACACTACCATGCAAAAGTTTTTGAAAGAAGTCTCGTTCATGAAGGCTTTGTTTGTTTGATTGAAATACAGTATAAACAGTAATATTGTGAAATATGTTTATTATTTTAATTTGTTTTAAACTGTTTTCTGTTTTAATATATATATTTTTTTAATGTCATTTATTCTTTGGTGTCACAGAAAATAGAAATCATTCTAATATGCTGATTTGTTGCTCAAGAAACATTTCTTGTCATTATCCATGTTGAAAACAGTTGTGCTGCTTAATGTTTTGTGGAAACTGATGCATTCAAAAGAACACATTTTGTTTAAAAAATATTAATATTTTTGTTACAATATAAATGTTTACTGTCACTTTAATACATCTTTACTGTCACTTTTGATCAGTTGAACGCATCCTTGCTGAGTAAAAATATTAATTTCTTTAAAGGATTTCTTTAACTTACTGACCTCAAACTTTGGAATGATTGCACATTTAGTTTAATACTAGAGTCCAAGACTTACATTTACAGAGCATAAATGATTATCTTTGGATATTCACAGTTCAGAGGCCTTTAAACAGGGAGGTAGAAGAGGAGCGAAGAAGGTCATGATCGTCATCACAGATGGAGAATCACATGACAGCGCTGACCTGCAGCAGGTCATTGAGGACAGTGAGAAGGACGGCATCACCAGATATGCCATTGCTGTAAGTATTGCCTTCCTTACTTGAGTTTACTTCACTTTCTTTCCTGCTTTCGTTTTTTGCTTTGGCATTGATGCCAACTCTCATGCTGAAATTATGTGATGACCTATTTTTAAAATGGGCTTTTAACCAGTCATTGAAGTCACATTTCTGATCCTCTTCAGGCTGATTGATTCTTGACGTTCTTCCTCACAACAGGTACTGGGCTACTACAATCGCAGAGGCATCAACCCTGAAGCTTTCCTTAATGAGATCAAGTACATCGCTAGCGACCCCGATGATAAGCATTTCTTTAATGTGACAGACGAGGCAGCTTTGAAGGACATTGTGGACGCGCTCGGAGAGAGGATCTTCAGTTTAGAGGGTTGGTGATTTTACCACATGATTTTACCAATGGCACCACACACAGCATTGCATCATGTCCATAACACAGCCCAAAACCTCAGCCTGTAAAATCTCTGCACAGCACTACACTGTAAATTGCAGTGGACCAAATCTTCAAATTTATACCACATTGCTTTGCTATATTCTCAGTGCCAGCTCTTTCTTTAAGATCACTGAAATCTGCAATCCTCTGTTGTAGGAAATGGTGGACTCTTTTCTCCTGTGTGTTTTTGTTGTTTTTGTGTGCAGGGACCAGCAAGAATGGGACAGCATTTGGTCTCCAGATGTCTCAGGCTGGCTTCTCCACACACATAGTGGAGGTGAGTCTGTATGTCCATCAGTCTGGAAGTGCATTTAAATATTGTCATGTAAACGCATTAACCTGTTTTCCTTTATCAAAGTACAGTATAAACCGATCAACACAGGTAGATTTTAGTATAGTAGAAACCTTACCCCTATTTCACCCAGCATGTATACACATTAACCTGCATTCTGTCTGCCTATTGAAGTGTGCATGTGTGATATGTGACAGTAAAGTGTCCTGCAGATATAAGCACATCTAGAAAGAGTGAGCATAGTAAGGGAGTAGGAAATATATTGCAAACTCCAACTCTTTCTTGACTAAGAAATTATAAAAATGTGATCTCATCTCATGTAGCCAAAGTTGAGTGGTGCACTGCTTATTTATTTAAAGGGATATTTCACCCAAAAATGAAAATTAGCCCATGATTTACTCACCCTCAAGTCATCCTACTGTAGGTGTATTTTTAGTCATTTTAGTCGATAAAGTTTTAAATATGGATATTTTTCTTACACGAACGCATTCGCTTCACTTCAGAAGGCCTTTATGAACCGCCCAGAGCCATGTGGAGCACTTTTATCATGGCTCATGGCTGGATTCACTGTGATGGACTTAAATGGCCATTCACTGCCATTATAAAGCTTGGAAGAGCCAGGACATTTTTTAATATAACTCAGATTGTATTCGTCTGAAAGAAGAATGTCATATACACCTAGGATGGCTTGAGGGTGAGTAAATGGGTTCATTTTTATTTTTGGGTGAACTATCACTTTACCATCACATCTCGTATAACAAATGAAACACTCTCAGATACAGTCTGATACACAAATTATTTGGTTTTGACGTCACTACTAGGGAATAACCAGATTTTTTAATCAAGTCTAGTAAACATAGCTTACCTGCGTAAACTGGGACTATGGGTTAATTCAATAAGCTATTTTTTGGGAGTTATCAGTCTATACAGGTGTGAATATAAATGTGCTTTAAGTTCTTGGTGTACTTTATTCCTTAGATCACAGCTCCATCTCAGCTGAAAGAAAAACCTAGACATTTTAACTGAGATCAGATTAAGAACTTTGCCTGAACCAAAAGTCAGACGCTCAATGAATGTTTAGGTTTACTTTCTTTAAACTGAAACTTTATCTTTCTTTCTTTCTTTCTTTCTTTCTTTCTTTCTTTCTTTCTTTCTTTCTTTCTTTCTTTCTTTCTTTCTTTCTTTCTTTCTTTCTTTCTTTCTTTCTTTCTTTCTTTCTTTCTTTCTTTCTTTCTTTCTTTCTTTCTTTTCTTTTTAAACATTCTTCATTTCTTTTCTTCTCTTTCTTTAGGTTTTCTCTTTATAAGTCAGTAAGATGATCCACCAAAAATATTACACCTTTACAATGGTGAGCATAATAAGATTCCTCCCTGATAATTCAAACAAGCCTCTTTCTGAAGGCCCAGGCTTTCCCAGGGAAGGGATTATTGTGGTGAGAAGTCTGGAGGAGCCGCACCTTAGGGGAGATGGAATATTTTCTTCTTGTCTGTCTGAACCCAGAGCTGATTTTAGAGCTGGATTGTCCTCCAGCACAGACCCAGCATCTGACACTACCATACTGTACCTGCTGCTCCGTCCACAAATCAGCCTAAACTGTACCTGGTGGGTCTGTATCCATCCAAGACCTGCTCCCAACTGTAATGCTAATCATTTCTGTCCAGGCTGCACAGTTTGCTGATGCAACCCCTCCGGTTTTTCCACTCCGTTCCCTTAAGGCAAGCAATGAGAGTTATTAATATCTAGTCTTTTTTTTATGGAAGAAATGGATAGGAAAACTCCAGATGCCCATTGGGATGGCTGGAAATCTGGATGCCTGGAACAACATCTGCAACAGAAGCATCTTGAGTGTTGAGAGGAGGGATAAGTTGTTGGAAAGAATGTTTGGATCATATCCCTAAATCCAGATACTCTTTAAAGTGTGTGGGATGTGTCAAGGTTTAAATGTGTCTAGGCTTACATACATATGTGTGACACATATTTGACTTAGACTTTATTTCATGCCCCAGAATTTATGCATGGTAATGGAAATGGTTAATACAATGTTAATGTATTTGATATTGGCGGAATAGCCAGCTGCTGCTGCTGCTGCAGAGCAAGGGCCAAGACTTCCTACTACTAATACATTCACAGACATTTATGTGAGCATGTAAGACACACTGCTGCTGCTGCACGTGTAACATACATGAATGAACCTCCCATCAAAGCAGGAAACAAGAGAAAAGGGCAGAGCCCTCTTCAACAAACATCCAAACAGATCATTTACAAGTTGTCCAGCCAATGCCAAATAAAGCTGTGGACAGGAAGACTATTGCTATACATTTGTAAAGCAACTTTTTTACCCTAAACAGTTGTATAGGGTAATAGGAGAAATAGACAGAAACACGTAATATACACATGACGTTGAGTGGTAAAACAAGCTGCTGCATCAGCAGATGTGCATACATACATACATGATACAGACCCATCTCGAAAATGTCAGTCCTGGCTAAGGTTATGGAAACTCTGGTAAATGAACAATTGAAAGACTTTCTAGCTACTAACAATACTTTGTCTTACTTTCAATCCAATCAGGTTTTCGTAATAGACCCAGCACAACTACAGCAGCCCTAAAAGTAGTAAATGATTTCAACACATTCTCACCCCAAGGCGTCACCTTTGACCATGCTTCAATATTTGACGTTTTAGGCGCCCTTTAGCGTCACTTACATGACGCGATCCTACGGCGTCATCTAACTGGCGCTAAAGGAAAGCGTCTGTTAGAGGACGCGGTTAGGTTTAGGTGTGGGGTGGGGGTAGGGTACACGCGATCCTAGGGCGTCATCTAACTGACGCTAAAGGAAAGCGTCAGTAAGAGGACGCGGTTAGGTTTAGGTGTGGGGTGGGGGTAGGGTACACGCGATCCTAGGGCGTCATCTAACTGACGCTAAAGGGCGCCTAAAGCGTCAGATATTGAAGTCAGTTAAGTGACGCCTTGGGGGTGAGAATGGGCTGATGATTTCATTGACTCTTTAGATAAAAAACAGCATTGCGCAGCTCTTTTTAGTGATCTATCTAAAGCTTTTGATACTGTGGATCACAAAATATTAAAACAAAGACTTCTCAGTGTCGGGTTGTCAGAACAAGCAGTTTGCTGGTTTGAAAATTATACAGTATATCATGTAGATCGCAAAGCGTACAGGTAGATGGTCTCACCTCTAGCCCTCTTACGTAGTAAATCTATGGGTGTGCCCCAGGGGTCAGTGCTGGGACCACTCCTTTTTTTATTATACATCAACATTCATGATCGAAATGTCTCCAACGCAAATTTTCATTTCTATGCCGATGACACTGTGATATACTGCTCTGCAGCAGTTACATACAAATAAAAGACCGTTGCTGCTTCATAGACACAATTGTATAACACTCCAGATTATGCTTAGTAAATAACTCCACAAGACTATAAGCAGATGCTTAGATTAACTGTTGTCATTTCTAACATAAAGCTAGTTTAAAACTTGTAAAGATTACTTCATTTAGGAATTAAATAACCGGACCACACAATCTGTGCAGAGTTGTGGAATAAAACATCAATCTCTTATCTTAGAAGTTGATTCCAGATTCATTCTGAAAGCGCGCTGAAGACTGCTAACAGCAACACTATTGGTATTTGTTTGAATGTTGAGCCGCAGCTCATTGGCCGCTAACAACAACCAATCAGCTGGGCTACAGTATGTAGATAATGACGTGATCACTACCAAGTGAGTTAGACCAATGAGCATGCACCATCTAGAGTCTCATGCCAGCACTAGGTATTTAAGATACAGTAACAATATAAAGTGATTGCCTAGATATAACAGTGAATTCGGCAAGCATTATAGATTAATTTTTAAGTTAAAGTTAGTAATTGAAACTGAAAAAACAGACTGATATATCTTTATTTCGCCCAGTGAGATCGATGCTGAGCCAAATTAAGATAAAGATGCCATCTGGGACCTGGCGTGTTTAATGAACCAATCAGATAATATTAAATCTATAGTCAACGACAACCTCATTTGATTGACTACAAGAAGAAGGTAGACCCGCCTTCCCTCTCACTCTTGGAAAACTCTAATGAGTGAGAGAATCTCATCATTATTACACCGTAAGCATACATACCAAGTTAGATTGGTTCTACATGGTCGATCTGTTTTGCAGTTCTTCACACTGTTGTTTTCGCTTGCAAATGGCTGTTCACAGGCTTACAATACTTTTGGCCATGTTTTGGCATCCACTGGGGAGTGCGGTAACACTTTAGAATACGGTTCCTTCGTTAATGAATAACTACACAAGAACTAATGAGTAACACAATTTTAACAATCTAGTAACTATTATTAACTCTGATTAACAAACTAGTACGTAATAGCGCACAGACGAAAGTGGTAGTTCACTATTAAGTAATCAATAACTACTATTTTTTTAATACTTCCCAGAGAACTACTGAAAAAGTTTATTAACAATCTAGTAACTACTATTAACTAAAAGAAGCTCTTATTAATGAATTAGTAAGTAATAGCTCACAGATAAAAGTGTTACTAGATACTTCTGTGGGAATTACTAATTATTTGGATTCGTATTATAAAGTGAAGATCATTGGAACTAACTAGTAATTACTCATTTATTACTAAAGACATTTTCTAAAAGCATACTAAAGTTCACCAAAAATCTCAAATGGTTGCACAAATCATGACTAGATCATGTAGTAACACTTGAGTAATTACTAGTTAGTTCCAATGATCTTCACTTTATAATACGGATCCAAATAATTAGTAAGTAATAGCTCACAGATGAAAGTGTTACTATAGATTCTGTGGGAATTACTAAATATTTGGATATTTAGTAATTTAGTAATTTACTAATGCTACCAGGACAGCACTGCAGTCCTGGTAGCATTAGGTTTCGAGGCAGTCCTGCTTTGTGTCTTTGTGCTGGTCCTTTATCACATCTTCTGCATGCATATGTGGTGCTGGTTTTATGGTAGCGATGATGAGGTGCAAGGTTACCAGATGCACAACATCACACTCAGCCAGCACTGTTCCATTTAGTGACTACTTTTATGCTGTGAAAGCCAGGCTGCAGTAGAGCCGAAGCAGAAGTTGTTGAAAGGATGAGGTCACACCTTAAAGGCACACAAAGCAGGAGGCTTTCTTTGGTGGTTTCATCCACAGTGCACAGTGTTCTCTGATTAAAAACCATAAAGTCATTATTATCAACTCTCTGTGTTTATGTTTGAGATCTGAAGTAGCCTATTCAGTGAGCCAGAGCAGCGCATTCTCAGTGGGCTGCAAGTTCAGGAAGAATGTTCCGTCTGGGCTGGGATTGCTCGGAACGTTGTTTGTTTATATGTAAGCATCCGCCAGGGAATTTAAGTTCTCTCTAAACATGAACCCATTCCACTTGCTCTCATTCTGACTACTGTCTACATAATTAACAGTGTGGGATGCCAAGCATTTTGTTCATATTTTACGGAAGAATAAACTCATCAATAAGTAAATAAATTGTTTATGGGGTTTCCATGTGAATTGAATGCAAAACACTTCCAGAGAAATGATGAGCTGGATAGACACTGATTAAGATTAAATGTGTGAATCACTGTATTATGAGCTAAATGAGGTCAAGAATGTAGCTACAATATGTTCTATACAAACAACTGCAAAATGTGCATTTTTTTTAACTGCTTTCTACAGAAAGGCAGAGGCATGATTGATGCATTGGCTAAATAATATGAAGAGGTTTTTGAGATTGTGAGCTTTTTTTTTTTTTTTTCCACGGATTCCATTATTCTTCAGCAACTGTTCCAGAATTAATTATATGCAAGTGTCACTGAAATTGTTTCATTTTATTTGACTAATGTGCCATTGGAAGCAAAAGCCCATCTACCCGAAATGAACCACTGCAGATGATCTAGGCTACACTCTAAAAAATGCTGGGTTGTTTTAACCCAACTTTGGGTCAAATATGGACTAACCCAGCCGTTGGGTTAAATTTTTACATTACATTTTTAACCCAGCATTTTGGGTTTGTCCATATTTGACCCAAAATTGGGTTAAAACAACCCAGCATTTTTTAGAGTGTAGGGTCTCATAAAAATCTGAAAAACTGGCAACTTAAAACAATAGATGCCTCCAGAAAAGAAGAATATAATCATCGAATTGTATCTAATTGTAAAGTTAGCGAATTTTATGTAAATGTAACAATATGAATATATTTGTTTGCTCTGTCTGCAGGACGGTATTTTAGTGGGAGCTGTGGGAGCTTATGACTGGAATGGGGCTGTGCTGAAGGAGACTCGTCAGGGTAAAGTGGTTCCACCAAAGTCTTCATATGAACAGGAGTTTCCAGATGAACTGAAGAACCATGGAGCCTACCTGGGTAAAGAATCCACACCTATACATTCAACCATAGCTGTCACTGAGATAAATGGCCCAGTGTGATACTGTATGTCAACATCTATATGTTTTTAATTGTTATTCATTCTACTGTATTTTTTTACTCTCTTGGTTTCATTTTAACTCCACTCTGTTTCCAAACAAAGATACATCCAGTATACAGTAAATTGATAATCATTTTATTTTATCATCTTTTGTGTTTGTAGGTTATACAGTGACATCAGTGGTGTCAGCTCTCAGTGGTCAGTTATATGTAGCAGGAGCTCCACGTTTTAACCACACGGGCAAGGTCATCATCTTCACCCTGAAAAATACTGGAGAGCTCACTATATTACACTCACTCAAGGGACAGCAGGTAAATCACTTGAACATAAAACATGCTTACAAACATTTGCAGCACACAGTGTTTGAATACAATCCTCATGTATTCTCCAACAGCACTTTGACTCATTCTTCACACACAGTTTTTGCGTGTTTACAGCTCTCCTGTATGCAAGTACTCAAAAGCTTCTTTTCCACTGTCAGGCCGAACGGTTTTAAGACCAGCAAGGAATTGTTTCAGTTTAATTTCCAATTGAGCCTGGTTGGCACAGCACGATTACAACCCGTTCTCAGCACCATTGGCTAACCATGCTGAACCATAGTGGTAGAATGCGTGTATAGTGACGTCACCACTCAGGATTGGTCACTTATCTGTTGCCTGGCTACCAGTTTCTCTGTAGCTGGCCTGATGCGCTATTCGAGCGACCTAAACACAAGGTAATAATAAAATCAAAAGAATTATCTGAACATCCCCCATAAAACAATCACTATTTACGTCTCGTATCGTCTGTAGATTATTGCGTTACCAATGCAATGCATTTGTATTACATTCCAAAGAGCTCCTTTATCAGCCACACAGTGGAAAATGAAACTATATCCATATTGACTGGGCCGGACCACCATGGAATGGATTGATTTAGCAATGAGAACGTTTTGGCCAGATGTTGGAAAAGCAGCTAGACTGTACAAACGATGGTGATCAATTGGTCATTGTGTTTTCAATCTCACTCCTGGCTTTCATTTGCGATGAGTGGACTGTTTAAGTCTAGACTACAAACCCAAATCCATGTGCTTCTCATCACAGTCCTAAAGCATGCAAATAATTTCTCTCACAAACAAAGCAGAGTTATTGAATATGTTTAAAGGAGGTAAACATTTAACACATTTAAGCATTTAAGGTGATTATTACCTCAGGAGATTGCCTTAAATATCACCCCCGTTAATCAAACTGCACAATTATGCATGCGACTCTTTATTTAGAAAGCATATGATTGTGATTGAGAGAAATAAGCATTTGGTTATGCTGTTTTTTGTTGTTGCTTTGTCTAGATCCACATATACTGTATATATGTATATGCTTCATACAGTAGGCACAAAATGCATATCCTTTTGCACCAGTAGTAATCAGTCTGGCTTTGATGGATGTGTTTGCAGATAGGGTCATACTATGGCAGTGAGATTGCTCCAGTGGACATGGATGATGATGGAGTGACTGATAACCTGCTGGTGGCTGCGCCCATGTTCTTCAGTGGAGGCTGGGAAAAGGGCAAAGTCTACATATACAGAGTCACAGAGCAGGTACAGTTTGTTGTGAAAAACAAGTTAATTAGCCATTGACAAGCTATTATATTACCTCCTGTTTACGTCCCAGAAAGCAAGATTACAGATGTTGTCTCCTGTTTTAAAGCTGAGGGATCCAAGCTCTGAAAATTGTGCCTGTGCATTAATGCTGCAGTTCCTCATTAATGATCTCACATAAATACTGACAGGCTTTTGCCACCTGCCATACCTCGCATCACAGAGTAGTGGAGGGTGAACTCAGCAGGAAAATATTTCCCCCTTGAAATGTAATTATATGAATCGCACAGAGAGAGCGAAAGCTGCTTTAATAAATGGAAAAGGCTGGAGTGAATGCAAGAGCAATGCTGTGAATAAAGCAGACCTCCATCTTTATTCATTTAGCTCTTATAAGCTTTTTCCTTGTGTCCTTAACCAGGGTACCACAATCTGTGTTATGCCTCAGGTTGCAGCCAGACACTGGGTACATCAACATCGTTAAATGAAATAATTGACTATTGTTAAGTCGTTATTCAAATACCTTTGTACGTATTTCATCCATTTATTATGCAAACCATTCTCCTCTCTTTCTTCTCCTCTCTTCTATTACTCTTCTACTGTAATCTAATGCCATTAGGAAGGATGCAATTGATTTCATGTGTCTGTCGTCTAAGGCCGTATATTTTCAGTGCGAGTGAGAGATTTAGGAATTTAGGAGGAGAGTTATGTGCATGGCTAATTACTCTCCCAAATACTTGGCTAACTTGAACAGTTTTTGCTTTGAGAAATTGCACCTTTCCCTCAAACTTTCCACCCATTTGAGACTAATTGATTTGAGAGGCTCAAATGCCTTCTTTCTGTCCTCACCTTAAGTGATAATACAGGAGCAGTTCTTGCATTTGACCTTGGGAGTCTGGTTTGGACTGTTATTGTGAATGTGTATGCTTAAAACTATTTATTTCAACCATGTGGATTTTTTTAAAGGCTGCATTTTATTTTCAAAATCATGCTACAGTTGTGCTGCAATCTATGCTTTTTTATGTATTGTTGGATAAAGGCAGCAGTTTCGTCCATATTTCTTACATAAAAGCATGGGTTGTCGTCATCTCTGGATCTCTTACAAAATCTTGTTTCTGGTTATAGAAATGTTTAGCCCGTGTCCATGACCTAAGTGGATATTTACATCTTTTCAGAGTTTTTTTAATTGTTGGTGTATGAAATAAATATAAACAATGATCCTATTCCTCATTAAAAGTTTGCATTTGAAAATTTTTGTGCAACATTAATATAAACTTAATGTAAATAGACTTCTTTCATATCTCTCTTAAACCATAATATTTATTCTTACTGTATTTATCCCTGATTCCTAAGGCATTCTTAATGTATTTTTTGTCCAATTAAGACTTCAAGATTTCAGTTTTAAGCCAAAGGAACATTGAATTATAGGTTAGATGAGCATCCAATAATATGAAAATAGGAGTTCACAAAACATTCAAGTATCCCACCCACATAGACAGAGTACAGCCCAGTGCATGACCACATTTTCAATGTATTGTGGCGTCAGTTGACTTTATTAAAGGGCAAACTATCTGTACATTGTGAAACCCATTAGTTTACCCTCTGCCTTACCCCCTGTACAAGCCATCAAACTGAAGTAACAAGGCTCATGCTGTATCTAAATTGTGGCTTACTTCCTCACGGCAGCTCTTTATGCTTGTTTTCCCATCAGCCTCGTTTCATATTGGAGGGCTCGCTGGAGATTTTAGATCAAGGTCAGAATGCCCGCTTCGGCTCTGCACTGGCCCCTGTGCCTGATCTAAATGGAGATTCATTTAACGATGTGGTGGTGGGAGCTCCGCTAGAGGATGATCACAAAGGAGCCATTTACATCTACTACAGCCAACGCAACAGAATATTGAGGAAATATAAACAGGTACCACATAAGTATCCAGCTGTTCTCTTGTGTATTAATTACTGTATTTGAATGTGTTAGCTTTGAATAGTTATATATTTTACACCCATCCCCTCTCTTTTTCAGAGGATTGCTGGAGTTCAGCTGGCCCCGGGTCTGCAGTACTTTGGTTGTAGTATCCATGGCGATATGGATATGAATGGAGATGGCCTGGTGGATCTGGCTGTGGGCTCCCTCGGTGCAGCAGTACTTCTGTGGTGGGTCTCTAACACAGGGTTCTTTACACTGTTAGTTACTCCTTAATAAAAAATTCAATAATATTTGCTGTGCTACAGGTCTAGAAGTGTTGTCCGAATCCATGCTACGGTTCGATTCGAGCCCAGCAAGATCAACGTATTCAATAAAGACTGTCGGAGAGGAGGGAAAGATGTGACCTGCATGTCGGCTATTGTATGTCTGAATGTCACAGCTCGGACTCCTATCAGACCCTCACAAGAAATAGGTCAGTTTTTATATCTTTTTTTTCAATAAATAAACAATACTGTACTTTGATGTCTTAGATACAGTAATTAAAATGGTGAATACAAATTTAATTTCTGTGTAGATTGTTGATCATATATGAAACTTGTGCTTATTTATCTACTATATGTAAATAATATGGTCTTTTTGCACTGAATCCATCTGTTGGATTGCACCAGTTCTTTGGTCAAAGAATGACATAACACTTAGCTTTCACCCAAACACACTCAGAAGGGAGAACACAAAGTTACGGTAGTGCTTTGAAAGCAGCAATGTCCTCTCGTCATATAGAATCATTATAAGAGAAATAAGCAACTGACAGCTGGCGGGATTCTCACACCACCAACCAGCTGCATATTCAGTGTAGTTCGGTTAAGGTTTCCCTTGTAAGCATGCCACGTATTAGCATGAAAAATATTCAGTTGTGATGAATTGTTCAACATACAGTAATCTCTTGATCTTTCCTTTGTTGCTTTGTGGATTCAAGATTTGCCTTGGGGGGGGGGGGGTAAAAGAAAAAGAAAAACACGTTGTATGATGACTCTGGCTGAAACAACAAATTAAATTAGTTAAAAAGTATTTTTAGCATGTGTAATATTGTGTCAAGTAGCTAAAAAAATCAAATGAATAGTGTTATAATTGGTTCCAGATATAATAGAGATGTGAATGGTTTGAATATTGTGTTTTATCCTACCTATACATGAAGTCATCGCTGTGCAAAAACTCTAAGTAGCAGTGACAAAGTGTGTCACACTGCTTTACTGCTTTAAAATGCCCTAGAACTGAGACATTTAAAATGATACCAAACATGTATAATAACGAATGATAATTGTTCATATTAAACCGTATAGATTTTGGAGTGAATTCAGGTTGGGGTGGGTAAAGGGAATGATGTATAATTGGGAGGGGATCAACTCAAGTGTGATCGTGTCTCAAATGGGGATAGTAATATAGCAAGAGCGTTCAAATGTTAATTTCCTTTGTAGAGTAGCCCTCTCTTCCAGTTCTTCCAGTTTCTCCAGTCTTACAAAACCAAGTTACATCTGTCCATTTGGTCTACACATTAAATCCATCTGAGGTTCTGAAAGTGAACAGGGACATTTTTGCTGAATTCCTCCATGGAAAGCCGAAAACAAAAAGCGAGAAACCAAAAATCAAAAACTCATCCAAATGATTACTAATGATTACATCCAAATGAAACCCAATTTACACAGAGGGATCTAAATCTGGAAATTAAGTGCAGCTTTTGCAACAAAACAACCATGTGAGGGTATATCTGCATCCCTGACCAAAGCTCAGTTTTCACTGCAGAGGCAAATACTCTATTCTGTTTATACTTTTGAAAAGGTTTTTAACGAAGGAAATCCATAATTAGTTTAGTTTGATTTTTGAATAACTAAACCTGGGTCTTGCCATGAACATAGCCATAGAGCCTGGAATGGCTTGAAAGGAAAGGAAAAAATGCGTCAGTCCCTCAGGTCTATGGTTTGACACATGCAGTTTGACTTAAGGCCTTGGTGTTCATCATATGTTGTTTTGAAAATCATGTGCTGGAAGGTCAGTTTCCTGTGTAATGTGTGGGACAACCGAGCAGCACAACTGTTTTTAATTAACCTTCACGACCTCTGAGCATCTTCATAAAAAATGTCATGATTGTGAAACCAATGTAATGGTCTCAAAGACCAAAACATGTCATCTCTCTATGATCATCTGGGAAATCAGATTTGAAACATTTGGGACATTATAAAAGGAGATTTTTTTTTCTAATTCACCTCACATGTGCTGAGCAGGGTTATGTTGAGGGTGTCATTTATTGGTACACATTTTTCACATTTATGAGATTTTAGAAAATATCATTACTTTAGGTTTATAGAGTGTATTTTAAAGGTTCAAACTTTCTTTCAGCTTAAAATCTCTGTTTGAACCTTGACAGATAGCCGAACACTCTCTTGTCATTCAGTTTTCTTAAAAGGGGTTTTCCTTAAGGTTACATTTTCTCACTTTTTAGGCCTTAGAACTCCCAAATTGCTCTCAGATCTCCAGAGTATCATACATTTCACCTCTAGAGTGTCTTAAATCTCTGTCTTAAATCAAAAGGTTGGGGTCAGGAAGCATTGAATACTTTTATTCAGAAGGGAAACATTAAATTGATCAAAAGAGACATTCAAGAAATGTATAATATAACGTATAAAGTTTAAGATGCTGTTCTTTTAAACTTTATATTTACCAAAGAATCCTGAAATAATCAAAAAAGATCACAAATTATTAATCAACACAACTGTTTTCAACATTGATGATAATAATAAATGTTTGTTCAGCACCATATCCGCATATTAAAGGATCATGTACTGAAGAATCATGTACAGTAAAATTGCATTTCAAAATATATTAAAATAGAAAACAGTTATTTTCAATTGTAATAACAATATAATTTATTTTACTGTTTTTATCAAAAAAAAATACTGCATTGATGAGCATAAAATACTTCAGATATTTCAGAAACATTCCAAAAAAAATCATACTGACCTCAAACTTTTGAATGGTAGCGTATACACACGCTATCTAGCATTATTTGCAAATAATTTGTAAAGTGATGAGTAAATAATTTCACTGAATGTTCACTTTATTACTTCCACTTCTCTTAGCTCTTAGCTATAGTGCTTTCTTTGAGGAGAAGCGCTTTAACCCTCGAGCCGTGTTTGATGATCCAGATCGCCAGCAGCCTCAGAATCTTACACTGCTTCCTGGAGAGGAGACCTGTGACCACATCTACTTCCACGTCATGGTTAGCTTTCACCCCTTTGGTTACAGTATCATAAGGGTGCTTTACATTGTAAATCATTTATAATGAGAACAAAATCTGTGATAACTGCCAAGTCATTATTGGATCTATTAATTATCTACTTTAATGTCTGTTCATTCAGATTTTCTATTGAAATAACAGCATTCCTATTTTATTAAGTTCACTTTCTAGCATTACAGCAGCAGATTGTATTCTTCCAAGTTACTCTTTTATAGCCATTTATTTATATTGAGAGATTTATTATATTCTAATGTTGATACAGGAGACTACAGACTATGCCAGGCCCATTATATTCACTGTAGAGACAGAGCTATTGGACCTGGATCAAGGCCCAGCTCTGGATGATGGCTGGCCAACTACTGTGAAAACACAGGTGAGTGTCTGTAGGTCAAAGGAAATTATATAACATTAGCGCACATTATGAAACTCTTTTAAATGTACAGTATATTAATACATATAAATGTAATGACACTTTGCGTTGTTGTTTCTTCTTCCGGGTTTTCTCCAGCTTCCCTTCTGGAACGGGTGTGATGAAGACGACCATTGTGTTCCAGAGTTGGTGTTACAATCTCAGACTGATCTAATAAATCGCAAGTAGGATAAGTCCCGCACACACACATGCTAACGCACTTATTCACACGCTCATGTTCACTCTGATGCTGTACAGGCAGTTCTGTGCCCAGGCGTTTCGGGCAGGCAGTCTGATATGTCAGAGTCAGACAGCAGCAGAACCTTCCGAACGCATTATGGAGGGATCCAGAAGGAGGATGGTAGTGGATGTACGTCTAGAAAACAGAGGGGAGAACGCATATGGAGCCCAGCTTAACATCACTTTCACTCCAAACCTACGCTTCTCCAGCCTTATAGTGAAGGTACATCCCTCTAATACCTTTAGTTGTTTGGTACCTGACAAGGATTGATTTTATTGTTCCTTTGTTCATTCATAATCTTGATTGATACTAATTACGTTCTAGAAATGCATCTGCAATAGTAATTGCTACTGTAAGTTAAATGATCTCTCTGTCTTTATATTTAGGATAACTCTGATATACATATAGACTGCCGCAGTGAGAACAAGCGAAAATATGAGAAATCTTGCAATATCAGTGCACCCTTTATGAGAGCAAAGTCACAGGTGAGTTGTCATTCCAACATTGATACAGTTAGACAGTTACTCTGAACCATATCAAACACCTCTAGCCCATAAAATGATTTGTGATTTGTGTGATGTTTTTTAGGACCATTAGCGAAGTCAAATTTAATGTTACTAGTATAGTAACTTTTTGTACACTGTACTCCAGCCATATGTACACAGCTAACAATTTGCCAGTGGCTGCATGTGCAGAATTATATAATGTATAATCCTAATGTGAGATTTGTTTATTGCCATGTTCAGCAACACTAGACATTTAGAGGTTAAACCAGGGTTAGCACTAGCCGTCTGTGCTCTAGAAAGCCTTGCTTGCACACACAAATTGGACCACACAGTCAAAAACCCTATAGACTTCTTCACATTACCCATCTACAGAATTGTCAGAATCTGTTGCAGACATATCAAATCTTTATGTCTGGAATGTTCCATGGGGCATAAATAAACTCACAAGGTCACCAGCACCCTGAAGTCACAGAATGATTCACTTAGTGTCCTTTTTTTACCTATGCTCATGTTCGGCCCTCTCCAGAAAAAGAAAAACACGAGGCAGGAATGTAATTCAAGAATACTGTTGCAAAAAGGTTACAACATCCATACAGAGCCCATCAATCACATAGCTTGGACCACAGAAGTCTGTCCTGTGCTTTGATAGGAAACGGGTCAGCAGCTTCTCACAGAGTCCTGATTCATTTTCTTGAGGACTGGGGGTCATTGGAGCTACACTTGTGGCAACAGAGAGAGATTTTATGGGCCCACATGGGAGCATGGTTCAGTTGTGAACAGTTTGAGATGGTGCGAAAGTGGAATAAAAGGAGGAGAACTCAGGAGGAGAGAATGTAAAAAGGATTTTCCATGCTGCTTTGTGCCACTACTCACCAAGAGGGAATGAAGAGTTTGCCCACGTAGTTATAGCTGTGTCCAAGTGCTTCCATTTCTCTAAGCAAGAATCGAACTAAAAGCCAATGTCAAAATATTTTCAGGTCATTACTGTTTTGCTTTTTTGTAGGTCTGAAAAAAATCTGACTACTGACTACTGAAAAAAAGCTACTAACACTTGTCAGTCACTTGTGTAACTATCATGTGGCTGTTTTTATTAAACATTACTCTGTCTCTTACTCCCCAGGTAACATTTCGTTTGGAATTTGAATTCAGTCACTCTGTGCTGCTGGATCACGTGCGGCTTATTCTGGAGGTTACCAGGTAATTACCTTTCCTAAGATTATTGATTCTGCACTATTTCAGCCTGATTATTTTCTTTTAAAAAAAAGGTAGTTCAAAAATCATATAACTTTTATCCTGTGGACCACAAAACAAAAATAGAAAATATGAATGGATCACTGGATTATTTAATGGCCGCTCTCAGATTGAAATCAGCTAGATGTGGTAACTGCAGTTAAAGTATCTAAAGCATAGTTGATGGTTTGGAAAGTTATGAAACTAAGAAAAAAGGATTCTGATGATGCCTAAGCTGGAACGTTAAACTTTACATAAACGCTACCAAGCATCACTGCGCTGTGAATTACAGGGTGAGTGTATCTGCCTGGGAGGGTTCTCATGCTTGTTCTTATATTTCTGCAGTGAGGGTGAGGAAGTTGTCCTACACGATAACATTAATGACATTTTCTACACTCTAAAATATGAAGCTGATCTGCTTTTCACAAGGTGAGATAGTTTAAACACTCTAATCAACATGTGTGGTTGTGGGAATTAGAATAGTTACAATATATTTTGATTCTTGCAGGGAGTTTTACCCAACCCGATATGAGCTTAAACCTGATCTCTCTCTCGAAGAACCGGGTGATTTCAACCCTCCATTCAACTTTACCTTTCAGGTTAGGTCCACTTCTTAGCTATGTGTTACTAAAGAGAGCAGGACCCCAAAAACTGATGTTTCAAAAAAAAAAAAACATGTTTCTTCTATGCATCGCAGATCAAGAACCTTGGTTATTTTCCAGTCCAAGACTTGCAACTGTACATTGCAATCCCTGAGGTCACTAAAAATGGCAATCAACTCCTGAAGATCAGAGATTTCCATATTGACCAGGTAAGAAGGACACAACTAGACTATAGTTTTTACTCTACCGGTTGTACATCAGATGTTCCTTTAGGTTTTCAAAAATCTAAAAAAAAAAGTTATGCCCTTTCGATCTGATTTTATCTATTTACAGTCTGGATAAGTTGACGTTAGTTGCCAAAGGTGAGGTCCAGTCTGCTGATTTGAGTTCACAGAAAATCACATCATGTATTATGGGCAAATTATTTTTTAGCTTCAGAATACGATTCAATCCAGTTGGAGGATATGTTATTCATGACCATTTTGTCCTCTGTAACCATTTACAAAGTTGGCAAGTGTATGCCTAGTATACTAAAATCTGTTTTAGATTTTAGAAGTCACAAAGTGTTTTCAAGCCTTAAGTCTTTTAAGTCTTAAAGTTCTATCATTATGCTTGTAAATGCTTGTCATATAGCTGTTTGTAAATGAAAAGGGTCTGCAAAATTTGAAAGATCAAAGTTATCGTCTTCTAAAAAAAAAAAAATCAATTCAGAATTGTATCAGCAATTCCAGTCTTACTTCTTATTACATACCTACATACCACTACAATACTATGGTCTTACATACCTACATACCACTACAATACTATGGTCCGGAGTAGGCCTCCGAAGCTGAAATTTAGGTATAGGGGTTTCATTTTTGACACGAGCTGTAAGCGGTAGACCAGTCATGACAGACAGACTCATCTGACCAATCAGAGCAGAGTATGCTCATGGAAAGGTGGGGTTTAAAGAGACTGAATATTCGAACAAACAGTTTTCAGAATCTTTGAGAAATTAGATGATATGCAATGTATATTATGAGACAATTAATGTGTTTTGACCTTGGATGCATGTAGGCCTATTGCAGGAGACATTCAAAACAAAGTTAGGAACCTATAAACCAGCATAAATGGTGCACTTTAAGTCTTTTATTCAAAGTGATCTACATAACAATCAAAGTATACTATTTTTCAGGTCATGCATTCCCTGGGAATCAAACCCATGACGTTTAAGCTGCTAGTTCCATGTTCTACTGTTAGAGCTACAGGAGTGATATTAATAGTGATTTGTGTCATTTTTCCATCAGGTAGGTGGAAGTCATTGTATTCCCCCTCAGCATGTGGCACACAGTCGAGCCTCTCCAGAGGACCTCTCACGAACATCCCGCCTGGTATGACCCGTTCTGCACAGGCTTAAAGTGTCTGCCTGTTATCACAGACAAAGCTTGCGCCGCATTCAGGCTAGCACTTTAACACTTTATAAAAGTCTGGTTTGTGCCGTTTTAAAGTTTGCCTGATTTAGGGGCTTTCAGATATGAGATGTGCTGATTTAATGCACAGCAGTAAAGTACTTCTCTGTAAAATAGTTGGTTTATACTCTCTGAATGAAGCCACTTGAGTTTAATATATTGTGCCATAAATCAAGCTCATTATTGGTAAATGTGGTTCATCTTCAATCAGTTCTAGAAATTGTATTGTTTTTGAAGATGTCTGAGGTGGGGAGTTTTGTAATGCAACTCTAACGCGTGTCAGATTTCCACCACAAGCAGCTGGGTTTCATCAGTAAGATTGTCTGTTTGTGAGAGAAATGTTTCTTGTTCCTTTGCACAGAACTCCTCCAACACCCTGGTAGTGCCAGTGCAGTGTACCGTCAACCTGCCTTCCTACAGAGACGTCAGCGTGAAAATCGGCGGATCCCTTCGTACTGATGCACTGCATGCGGTGTGTAGCAATCTGATGGAAATGAAGAAGTACAATGTGGGAAAAACCTGACATCAAGGCAGTGTCCGCACACAACATTAAGTCTGTAGTCAAGAGGATCTCCCAAAACCAATGCAAAACCTAGACTAGAGCAGTAATTAGAGACATACTGTTACTAAATCGGGTCAACAACTAGCAATTGCACTAAAAATCACCTTGAGATCAGTTTGTTCAGAAAAATTGTTAGCTGTGAGAAAAGCTATAGCATCATTTGTTTGTCGATTCCAATGAAATGCAGACAATTTATAAAAAAAATGTGGCCTCTCACTTCTCATGCTGGTCCTCTCTCACTTTCTCACACACTTTCTCTCAAGTATCTGTCAGAGAAACTGAAAACTGTTTTTCCTGTCATGGCAGTTGAAGTTCAAAACCCTTGAGCTGGTGACGACAGCCTCAGTGGAGCTGAACCCTTCCAGCCCCATGTTTCTGCCTGAAGAGAGGCCGGTCAGACATGTGAGTCACCCTCTGTACACATCAGCATTTACAGAAAGCCACGTTACAGAAACATTGCAGGACAACCTGTTTAGAATAGGTAAATATAAATCCATGACCGAATACTCCAAGACGTGGTTAGTATGACGGGTTGCTTTTGTCTTTTCCATCCTTGGCAATAATGAGGAGGAAAAACATAGACAAACGATGTGTTTTCATTCATCTGTCAGAGTTAAAAACAATTGTACACAGGCATGAAACATAAATCCCTTCATGCTAACATTGCGGAATATTTGACTTTACGCAATTAGGCTCGCTGGTTGTCTCATGCCAGAACCTTCTCTTTACACACCAGTGTGTCCTTTGGTGAGCTACTGTAAGAGTTGTTTCACCACAGTTAAAGAACCTGGAGCCAAGGGGACCGAAAGGACCAGCAGCACACTTGAGATCTGTTCTTTTCTTTATTATTGTGTGGTGCTGCCATCTATAGGCAGGACAGGAAATAGACATACATTATAACATCAGCAAATCTGATCTCAGCTGCAGCAGATGAAACATTTGATAAAACATGAAATGTGTCAGTGGCAAGATATACAAAGGGAAAGCTATGAGGTTGCCAGTAGTCAAATAATAAGCAGCTATCATAATTGCAATGTGAGGCATCTCTGATAAAGCAGTATAGTGTTTTATAGTTTTCTTTTCTATGTGTGTTTTCTCAGATAATCCTGGAGATTAGGAAAGAGGAGGATTACCGTGTTCCCATCTGGATTATCATTGGCAGCACACTTGGAGGCCTGTTACTCCTCTCTCTCCTCATTCTGGCACTTTGGAAGGTAATGTGTCCTATGCATATATACTGTAAGCACATACAGACTAAGTGGAATACAGATAGGCACATACATACATACTAGATACATAGATATATACATGCATGTATGCATAGAAAGATTGGATAGTTTGAGTTGTTGGCTGTAAGTTTATCTGTCTTGTATGTTTGGTGAGCCAAAGAAAAAGAAAAATTCATTCTAATTTTAATTCTAATTCTAATAGATTATTTGATTAGTGAATCTTGAATATCTTTCTTATTTTATTTTATTTTTTTACTCAACTAGTTGGGGTTTTTTCAAAGGCAAAAAAGGCGTGAGGAAGCTGAGAATGAGGCTAATGGCAAGATGGTGGAAGAGCGATAACGCAGGCTTCTCAAGAGGGTTCAGACAGGCCTACATCTCAGGGACCAACCAACAGCAACATTAGACGTCTCTGAAACTGAGAGAAAGAGAGAAAAACAGAACTCGAGGCAATGAATAAAGCAGAGGGATATGCTCTGCGCACTGGACGACCTGTTGTTCAACCATGAAAAACACTGCAATTATCCTCATCATGCCTGCACTGCTTACTGAGCCGACCCTATAGATGGGTCTCCATCTCTCTTCTCACTCCAGATCAAGCACCTCAGATGACATGATGTTCACAAGGATGTTGTTCTGAGAGACATGTTCAAAAGAGAGACTTTTGGAAGATGCAGTCGTGTGAAAAGCTTGACTTTGGCTTGAAAGCTTGAAAATAACTTTTTCACAGGGACTTTGGAATCGCAGTCCATCCATTTGATCGTTGGCCAAATCCAATGTCTGACAAGAGTCAAGAGAATATACAAGAGAAACCTCAAAGTGCTGTAACTCTATGAAACAGCCGTGTTTTCTGGTGCTTCTTCTTTGACATCTAGAAAAAGGGACATCTTGGTGGGGAAAAAAGTGCAAAAGTTGGCTCACTTTATTGCAATGGCCATTGTTTTTATATGTAATATTATATTAGGCACTGGAGTTTGTAGCTCTGTTTTTTTTTTTTTTTTTTTTTTGTGGTTGTAATTTATTGAAAAGAAAATGAACTGTTATGTATCTTATTACATTTTTATAAACTATCCTCTCTAATACCCTAAATAATTATACATCTTCATTTTGTTTACTATAATATATTATGCGCATTGTCCAATCTCAAATAACACTAGAGGTGGACATTTACTATTTTACTTTTTTACAACATTGATGCACTTTTTTATATTGTAGTGATACAAACTTGAATTTTGTAAATATACAGTTTATCTTTGTAAAACAAATTTCAAATGTGTGCTTTCATAAAGATTGTGGCATCACAATATATCTCTTGCAAGACATCAGCCCTAGTTTAGCTTCCATGATATGCTTCACACCTCAACAAGTAGCCTTTGAGAAAGGGTATGCTTCCTATACAGTCTGACTTATGACTTATTCGTTTAAAATATTAAGAATATTGATCAAATTTCCTAACATTAATAGTTGTTGAGTGTTGCAGATGTATTTTAGTCAGGGATCTCTATTCTTTGATGGTTGTGTATATATACATATACACACACATACATATATATATATATATATATATATATATATATATATATATGTACACACTCACCTAAAGGATTATTAGGAACACCATACTAATACTGTGTTTGACCCCCTTTCACCTTCATAACTGCCTTAATTCTACATGGCATTGATTTAACAAGGTGTTAAATGCATTCTTTGGAAATGTTGGCCCATAATGATAGGATAGCATCTTGCAGTTGATGGAGATTTGTGGGATGCACATCCAGGGCACGAAGCTCCTGTTCCACCACGTCCCAAAGATTTTAGTACAGTGAACTCATTGTCATGTTCAAGAAACCAATTTGAAATGATTTGAGCTTTGTGACATGGTGCATTATCCTGTGGAAAGTAGCCATCAGAGGATGGGTACATGGTGGCCATAAAGGGATGGACATGGTCAGAAACAATGCTCAGGTAGGCCGTGGCATTTAAACAATGCCCAATTGTCACTAAGGGGCCTAAAGTGTGCCAAGAAAACATCCACCACATCATTACACCACCACCACCAGCCTGCACAGTGGTAACAAGGCATGATGGATCCATGTTCTCATTCTGTTTACCAAATTTTGAATCTACCATCTGAATCTCTCAGCAGAAATCGAGACTCATCAGACCAGGCAACATTTTTTCCAGTCTTCAACTGTCCAATTTTGGTGAGCTCCTGCAAATTGTAGCCTCTTTTTCCTATTAGTAGAGGAGACAAGTGGTACCCGGTGGGGTCTTCTGCTGTTGTAGCTCATCCACCTCAAGATTGTGCATTTTGTGGCTTCACAAATGCTTTGCTGCATACCTTGGTTGTAACGAGTGGTTATTTCAGTCAAAGTTGCTCTTTTATCAGCTTGAATCAGTCGGCCCAATCTTCTCTGACCTCTAGCATCAACAAGGCATTTTCTCCCACAGGACTGCCGCATTCTGGATGTTTTTCCCTTTTCACACCATTCTTTGTAAACCCTAGAAATGGTTGTGCGTGAAAATCCCAGTAACTGAGCAGATTGTGAAATACTCAGACTGGCACCAACAACCATGCCATGCTCAAAATTGCTTAAATCACCTTTTTTTCTTATTCTGAATTCAGTTTGGAGTTCAGGGGATTGTCTTGATTCAGGACCACACCCCTAATTCTATTGAAGCAACTGCCATGTTATTGGCTGATTAGATAATTGCATTAATGAGCAATGGGCTATATGCACACATAAACTCTGCATATCTTGACGCAAGGATGCTCGTCCATTTCCGGTTGTGGAGATTAAAGTGGATGAAAACCGAGGAAAACGGGATTATGGCAGAGTCTTCAAAATTTACTGTCCTTTAAAAGGAAACGTAAATACATTTAGATGTAATTTGATATATAGTTATGTTTATTTAATATAATTAAAAAAAAAAGAATTAACACAACGAGGGGTGTCTGTTTTATCTGTTTTTGTGACTAACGTTTCTTTAGTATAACCATGGAGTATAAAATTCAATATAAATTCTTGGTATTTCATTGGACTCGACGATCAGCGGAAGTTATCGAGCATCCTTACACCTTCACCGGAAAGTGATAGAGCCCATTGAACAGGTGGTCCTAATAATCCTTTAGGTGAGTGCATGTATATATATATATATATCCAAGATAATACAATGAATGATATATGTATGTATGTATACAACACATGAACACTGAGAGTGTTAAAGTAATATGGATTTAAAAACTAGCAGAAATCTCATTAAATGAATACCTAAAATTCCTACTGAACAAACTTCACTAATTCTTGGATTACAGAACAATATAAAGGATATATGTTGTAAAGAAATACATAATTGTTGTGCATGTAACAGACGCGGCAATATGTATTTTTTTTTTTTTTTTTTTTTTTGCCGCTAAGGGTCGCTACCTCTTACAATAACGAAAGCCTAGGCTGATGACGCATAAGCGAAATTATGGACCTTGTCGTCAAGCTGATGGATCTTATGGATGAGTGAATACATTGATGTTTTTAACATGACTGTGATATGATGCAGGGCACGATTGCTAATGAGAGCAGATATTAGCGCCACACGCGAAACCCATACGAATTAATAAGCATTAATTCTACCATGTGAAACAGCGCTGCATAAACTCACAAGTTTCATTAGTCAAATAAACTAGTAATAAAGCACGTGCGGGTATGCTCGAGCATACCCGCACGTGCTTTATTACTAGTTTATTTGACTAATGAAACTTGTGAGTTTATGCAGCGCTGTTTCACATGGTCTAACGTTACATTATCTCACTAAAATGCATTTGAGTGAGTTGAAAGTTATATGTTATTTTATGTGTTAGTTTGTTGGATGTATAAGACTAGCAGTAAGCTAGATCAACATTAGAAAACATACTAATCATATACTAACATTTCATCATGTTGAGCTATATAGGCTAACATTGATTCGTTTTATGTACATTTGCTCACCTGTCTAATAAAGCACATGCAAGAGCAGCATCTCTGTCAAGTCGAAGTTTGTCGCGAAGCTCTCGACATCTGGAAAACGATATTGTTTCTCGTTTTATTTCTCGTTTTGTCCCAAAGTCTGCTTGCCATGGTCCATAATCTTTGAACGAAAGAACAGGATGCTGCAGGTGGTCTGAGAAAATATTTTCGTCAAATAATGCACAATAAGGCCTATCTGTTTCCATTAAAAATATAAATCAATTAAAATATTATTTGGCCAGTTGAAAAGATTGAGGAAAAACTTTCTCTAAAATGTATTTTATTCTATTTGATTCATTTGTTCAAAAACAAGGCAAGGATAGGCTTCTAAATGATTTTTTAGCAATGTAATGTGATCCACATCCATATATCATATTTTCCTAATTTCTTGTAAACTACTGTTAAACATCGCATCATGTGGATGAATATGCATATGCAAATTATATGCAGATAAGCATATGCGTAGTTAAACTAGGCGTTGTAAGCTTATATGGTTATTTCGGGGTGTAGACGCATGTGCGCACAATCTTCAGCTGACTGGGATTTATAAAGAAACTATGGGATTTTTTACAAAGGGATGCACGGTTTTATAAGTCTGAATATTTTTGCTTAAATGCTATTTTTGGCTTTCAGGCGCATGCACACTTCAAGGAGCCTACGCACAGTTTTCTATAAATGAGACCCCTGAACTGTTGGACGACTTATAATGATGTCAGACTTTGAAACAAATTTATGTAGGTTGTAATTTGTCTGTGTGTCTAGTTAAGGACAACACATTTTGTGTTACTTTTAACTCAGCCAGTGTGTTATTGTTCTTAACACAGGGAGTGTGATTTCACTAAGTTTTGCACTTTGAATTAGGCTAGATAGCAACTGACAAAATATTGTGTGTAAATAAGTTTTATTTACACTGGTGCACTCTTATAAAATGATTTTGTAAATAACACAACCTGTAAAAAGAGATGTTAAAAATGACACATGCTGTGTAGATTTTAACACATGTAGTGTGTGTGCTTAGGGACAACGCATTTTGTGTAGATTTTAACACGTGCTGTGTAGATTTTAACACATGTAGTGTGTGTACTCAGGGACAACACATTTTGTGTAGATTTTAACACATGTTGTGTAGATTTTAACACGTTTTGTAGATTTTAACACGTTTTGTAGATTTTAACACATTTAGTGCAGGGACAACACATGTTGTGTCAAATTTAACACACAACCTGTGTTGTTTCTTTACACATCTCTGTGTTTATAAGGATTACACATTTTGTGTTACGTTTAACACAACTAATGTGTTAGACAGCAGTGAGTTGTTGAAACCTTTTACACACTAATGTGTTATAGTAACACAACTTGTGTCAGATATGCGTCACATGTGACTGTAGTCGGAGAGTATTTGCCAGAGTTACTTCCCGTGTGCTTACAAAAGTGTTTGGATGAACACTGACACGTATTGGTAACTTGTGTTTATGTAGTCCAGTGATGTTTAATAGAGTTTGTTTGAAGATTTGGATGTTTTAAACATCATTAATCTACATAGATAAGCTCTTATTGAGAATTAACAGAGGTTTGATGTTTCATTTCAGTTTTATTTCAAGTCACCAGAATCGTGATTAATGGCTCCTTTATTTGGGCTCTTGAACCTTTACTCTTGTTTTAGTGTTTCTCTGCCTGCTGTAACTGTATTTTAATAAAATACATCTGTTATGGTGTCAGAAAATATGATCAGATGGTTCTTGATGATGTCATAATCAGCCAGTTATGATCAAGTTTTTGAGTATATGGATGGAGTGCTTTATTTTAATGATTTATTGTTAGTTCTGAAAGTTTTGTGAAACTACATCCAGCAATCAAAAAGTGCAGAATGACAAAGAAAGTTTAAAGCTACAGCAGAAACCAGTCAAACACAGATATCAAGAATCAGCGTATGGATCTCAATAATGGTGACAAACGAAAAATGTCATGCCGCAATGCATGCTGGGACTTATGGATAAGCTTTATACTAGAGGCATGAAGCTTTGCCACCATTGTTGAGAGTCATATGCTGATTCTTGATGTCTGTTTTTGACTAGTTTCTGCTGCAATTTTAAACTTTCTCTAAACATACTTTTTAAAGAATTATAGCATAAGGTAGCATACACCATAATATCATGTAAACACTGAATATCTGTTATCAAACATAAGTGATCAAATATAAGTTATGTCTTAAACATTAAATTTCTCTTGCTATGTTAAAAAACATCATGTTGAAAAATGATCATTTAATGATCTTTTTCCTCAAGATAATTTCAACTGTTTCAGATGTGCAAAATAAATACACAGAAACAGAGAATGGAAGAGTGAAGGGTCAAGACCCCAAATAAAGCTGCCACTAATCACGATTCTGGTGACATCAAAACAAACATTCAATGAATCGTCAACACAACCTGGTAATTCTCAATAAGTGTTTCTGTAGACGTCTGACAGAAATCAATTGTTTGTTATAATAAATTAGTTACTAATAACAAGTCAAATCAGCATTTGAAAAAAACATTGAAACCGAGGCATGATGTGATTGGCTGCCAAAAACACTCAACTGTCACCGTCCCAGGTGGGACGTTTGCCACTATATTTTTAAAACAATAATATCTTAGTAAATACCTTAAATAATATTGACAAACTATATATCATTTGAAAGCTTACAATCTCTAGTTTCCATATTTGGTGACTGATTTTCAAAATATATTACAGAGGAGCCATAATTTATCAATATAAAACAAGAATATTTTCATAGTCATAAGGCGTGTTCAGACCTTTATTTTTAAAATAGCAGTAAACATGAAAAATCATGAAAAAATGGTATACCTCAGTTTGTTTTCATGCCAAAAGTTCAAAAGATAGAATCCATTCAATTATTTTGGAAAAAAAAGGTCTGAAAAGTTTGAAATATCAAAGATAAAAATAATAAATTCACCATTTGTGACGTGTCAGCTAGCTGTGACTTACATGCGTGTTTCTTGTATGTGTTTCTTAGAGGTTCAATTCATATCAAAATCTGCCAAACTTCTCATGCTACTTTCTGAATAGGATCTCTACTTCAGAAATTGTATGAAAATTGTGAAAATAATGGTTCATATCACTCAAAACACGAATGGAAATGCAGGCGCCCTTATATGGGCAGTAATGGAGTCTCATTGTGCCCTAGTGAAAAAGTTTGGTACTGCGCTCAAACAAAATCTTACTGAAAGCTCATTTTTTGAGATATCAACCTAAAATTTGAAACACAAACTTGTTCAGATTTTGGC